CAATCCCCGGTACCAAAAAAAAAAAAAAAAACTCATGATAGCGTTCACCTATCATCCCAGCACCGTGGGAGGCTGAGGCAGGAGGATCACAACTTTGAGCACAGCCTAAGCAACTTAGCAAGACCCTGCCTCGAAAAAAAAAAAAAAGCATCGGGGATGTTGCTAAGTGTGAATGAACCCTAGGTTCATTCCCCAATACTGGAAGGAGAAAAACAAGCACCACAAACCAAAATCAAAACCGCTGTCACTGTCCTTCGAGAGGCTGGACTGAAGTCTCCTGGATGGCAGGGTCACAGTGTCACTGGGCATTGCCTGCTGCTTTCCACAGGCTCCTGCACACAGGCCGAGGGTGGCCTGCAGTGACTCCCTAAGTGTTCGTTTCCTGTCCCCAGTGCACCTGCAGGGCTCTCAGCACATCTTCATCCCCTTGCGCTGTGGTAGTCAGCCTGCAGATACTCCGGGGCTTTGGAACTGAACACCCAAGTTCCAGCCTCAGTTTCTCCTGTTTCCAGTGTGACCTTTAGCACATCCCTGGCCCTGCCCTCTGTTAAATGGGGAGACAGAGGCCATTGGCCAGAGCACCCTTCCTTCTACCAGCTTCCCAGGGAGAACCCCAGGTCTGAAGGACAAAGGCCTCTCAAGGTCTTCTGTTTCCACAAAGACCTGTGTAAAACAAAATTTGCTCATTCTTAGGAAGCTACAATTTTTGTTTTAAAAAAAAAGCAGCTAGCACAGGTAGGTTTAAGTTTATAGGCAACTGCTGGAGTTTAAGGAGTGTATGGCTTAAAGCAATAGGAGTGTAAATCGAAAAGCCATCATACACTTTCCTACAATCTTCCCATCCAGCCTGTTTGCACGAAAATCTAGCAGAGTATGTGAGAGAACTAGCTGGACCAGACTCTCAAAACCATGCAACTCTGATCAGAGCATCAGCAGAAATAATCATCATCCCAATAAAAATGAGTGCTTGGCCTCTCCACAGCCTCAAACTGACGGTGTGTGCCTCTCTGAGCTGTGGCTCTGTAGCTGGCCTGCTGGGTGGTGGGCTCAAAGAAACACTGAATCTTTATACTTACTTGTTACATATGTATTAAAATTATTAATGCATATATTAAGATGCCGTGTTTATTTTATCCTTTCACATGTGCAGTCCATAGCAGTAAATAAGTGCACACATATGGCATTCATCTTAGAAATATTCACACACTCATTTTGGGGCAGTGTCATGATTTTCATCAGTTAGGGCATAGGGCAGAAGAGTTGGGAGCCATGGCTAGAAGCAGCCTCGCTCCCTCTGGGCTCACTGAGTGGGCAGAGAGTACCCTGGGGGCTGCTGGGAGCCCTTCCTTCTGAAGCTGGCATGGAGACAGCTGATGGAGCAGAAATTGGAGATGAGTGAGACCACGGCTTATTTTTCTCTTTTGGAAGGACCTAAAGAGGTTAAAGCGAAGGAGAGAACTTGGCCCAGATGGTTCTGTAACTTGGTGTGTGACTAGCTTGCGGGCAGCTTGCTCAAGTTGTAAAAGATGTTTGGAAGGAGGCTGAAAGCAGGTGTGCCGTCGCCCCAGAGCCTTTCTTCCATACTCTGCCCTCTGGTGGCAGGGGCCCAGGTGGGGACACCAAGTGGACACTGGCACTTAGTGCAGTGGCTTCAGAGCCACGTGACCTCTGCTGCCAGAAGGAGAAATGGCTGAGTCAGGCCACTGAGGGTTCTCTCTGATGAGAGGGTAACATCCGGGGTAGAGTAAGACAAGCAAGGGGAGATGCCCCATGTGTTCTGGTCTAAACTGCAGCTGTACGCCCCACCTGGCCCGGGAGCAGGAGCTGGCTTCAGCTGCTCGTGCGGGAGTTTGTGTATTTCCTTACCAAATATTCCTTTAATGCTTACCTGTGACAAGCATTGTTCTAAGCACTTCGGAAAACAAGAGCTCAGTTTTCTTTCCGACAGCCTTAATAAGTGAAAACTAAAGTCCACTTCCCAGATGTGGGGCCTACAGCTCAGAGAGATGTGTCACTTGCCTAGGCTCACACAGCCTGTCGGTGGCAGCATCAGGCCCAGCCTGGTCCCTGTGGCCTCACAGGAGGCGAGAGGTGGGGACCATCTTTGCTCCGCTTGCATTGAGCCCCAGCACATAGGGCCTTGACTGCACGTGGAATCCTGCATTTTGTCTGGCTGGGGTTCCTAACTCCTTCAAAACTATTTTTATTTAGTTTCTAAGGGGCTTTTCTAAAATCATCTTATATTTTATATGTAATATCATATACTACACAGTAATATTATCACAGAAGTGATTTTCTTACCTTACCACATGGCAGTCTTCGTGCGCCAAGTATCCCATAGACATTAGTTCCGGTCTTTAAATTAGGCTGCAAAGGAGAGATGTGCACTGTTCCATGCAAGGCAAAATGAAAGCCAAGTAGTCGGACCTCCAGCCTTCAAAAGCCAACCCACAAACCTAGGTCTGAAACAGAAGCATAAACAGGTTGAGCCCTGACCCTCGGGCCTGCAGTGCAGCGACTGACAGGTGTGGCCTGCTGTTGTCCCTGCTGTCACAGCCTCCCAACATGACCCTCTGCTCTGTAGCCCAGCTTCGCTCGCATGGAGCTGGAGGCCATGTGGTCCCCAGGCGATGGTGTCTGCAGCTCCAACCCTCTGGGTCTGGTCCCTTTTGACCCGTTTAGAAGTTTTATCTTGCACTGGGCTTCATTAAGCAATGGTTGCTCACAGGTTCCCACCCCCACCCCCAGCTGTAAATGGTGGAGATTCTTAGTGTTTCATTTCAGTTAACAAATTAGCCCAATAAGATCCTAGTGAGATAATTGACAATGTGAAATAGGAAGAAAAGGGCTAAAGGTGTAGGGAAAGTGGGAAGGGTAGGGGAAAGGTAATAAGGGAAAAGAAAAAAAAATAGGAGAAAATGGAAATAAAGTGTTTGTAAATGGGGAGGGGAGGAGGGGGTGAAGGGAGGGCAGGGACGGGAAGAAAAAACTAGAACCAAGACCTGTTATGTAAAGGTGCAGGATCCCAATAATGAATGTAACTGTACAGTATACCTAAAATGTACCAATAAACTCAAGAAAAAAAAACAAGCCCAATTAGATGGGTAAGTTAGTCATTCTGACTTTCTGAAGTCCCACTGGAAGAACTTTGAGAAATAGCATTTATAGTTTTCTAATAGCAATTTAAAGGACACCAGCCTGTGGCGTCTGTTTAAGAGGGAACTGTCTTAACGCCCTGCTTAGAAACAGACTTGGAGATCTGCTCCTGAAGGCCGTGGGAGAGGAGCTCCCTGTGAGCATTTCCAAGCTGGCTCTTATTCTGGGCTCTAGTCAGGTATCACAGGGTTACCTGAAACCCACGGTTAATTCTAAACCCTCAGTTTTACCGCAGTGTTTTCTCTGCAACACCTCCCCCTGCCCCGCCACCCTCCAGAGTTTCTTGCAGGCTTTGAAGAAAGACTGATTTCCGTCATGAGTGGTAAATGGTAAAAATCCAGCAACTTGGAGAAAGTTGAAGGGGACTTCAGAGGAGCCTTAAGTGCTGCTAGCATAAGGGGCAGGGAAGCAACTGGGAAAAAGTGACACCCCTTAATGGCTAATTAGGAATGCAGAAACATTTTACCCTTGGGGAGGTGTTTGCTCAGTTTCCTAGTGTAAGTGACAGTGATCCCTGCCTCATTGGGTTACTGGAGGATTAAATGAGACAATGCATATAACATGCCTGAAATATAATAGGCAGTCAGTAAGCGTGAGGTCCCTTCCTTCCTTCTTGGACCCTTTCAACTTGTAGTCTCAGATGCCCGCATCCATGTCCCTGGCTCAACTGCTCTTCAAACAATCTTATTAATGCCTATTAACATGAAACCCAATAAAAGTGCCAATATTTGGTGTTGAAATAATTGATGTAGCAGAGCGAGCCCGTGAAGCGCCCAGGCAGGCCCCTGGTGCAATTTAGCCTCACACCTGGGGGATGAATTTCACAACTGTAATTGCTACCATATAATTCTTATTAATGTTGTGCTATAATTCCTATTTATTCTGCGGGACTTGTAAATGCATTAGGACTTGTCAACATATTATTTTACACTGTTTATGATCTGTAGAATTATGTTCTTCAGGGATGTATTGTACAAAAGCACAAAATAAATGGCTTTGGGCCTCATTAAAAACACACAAAAAGTGGCTGCTTGTTAAAGTGGTTCTCCACCCCGGCTATTCTGGACCGAAGTCAGTAGACTTAATTCTTAGCAGAGCCCTTCGCCTTTAGGAATCTAAGAGAATCTCCTCTTGTTGTGTGCCTGGAAAGGAGGGTGAGATAAATATGTAGGGAATTGCTTTGTCTTTCAGGAGCCACACCTGGATTCTGCCACTGCAGCCTAATCTCTCAGCTCCTATGATTTCTGTCCCCTTGCTCCTGGCTTGAGTAACCCCTTTCAGCTCCAAAATACCCTCAGCATCTTCCCAGGTCAAATCTACACACAAAAGTTTTGAAATTGAAAAAGTACAGAATGTAACTCCCTCCCAGAGCTCTTTGCATTCACTAGGCTGGTGTGAAGTTAAGGGGATAGCGTTCTGCCCACTGGGGTGTCAGACACTAACTTGTGTTTGTGTTGAGAGGTGTCTGCCAATGCTGGGGCTTTTGTTTTTGTTGCTTTTTGTTTTCCTACATTACTAGAGATTGAACCCGAGCCTTTGCCCCCTGAGCCGCATCCCCACCTTTTTCTTGTTCAGACAAGGCCTCGCTCTCTTGCCTCATTGATGGCTATTTTTGTGGGGCCTCAGAGCTTTCCCAGCACTTTGCAGTCAGAGTTGGCCACCGTGTAATCAAGCTGAAGTTCTTGCTCAGCCAGTTCCTGGACGCTGTTAGCAGGGTGGTGCCAGGGTCCAAGGTGGTCCCTCCAGGCCAGGGCAGTAGTGGCTGGCTGTCCCCTCCTCCTGTTCTGGGGACACAGGGAGTGAACTTGTGGGGAGGTAACCACTTTTCTCTTCTGCTCTCATAGGCAGTGAGTATGATGAAGAGGAGGTGGACTACGAGGAGTCAGACAGCGATGAGTCCTGGACCACAGAGAGCGCCATCAGCTCCGAAGCCATCCTCAGCTCCATGTGCATGAATGGAGGGGAGGAGAAGCCTTTCGCCTGCCCAGTTCCCGGGTGTAAAAAGAGATACAAGGTAAAAGAGATGCCACTTGGCTTAGCATAACTGCCTGGTAGAAGGACAAATCTGTAAATAGCCATTCCTTCCTCATTTTAAAGAGAGTACACAGGCTAGAGATAGATACATCCTCTCCTGCATCCAGCGGTTCACACCCTTTGGGCACCTGTGCACACAGCTGCCCTCGGGAGAAAGCTGCCATTTGCTAGGGATTCCCCTTTGCTGCCTGTGCAGGAGCTAGAAGTCAGAGATCTTGTAAGAGAACCGTGTTTTTGATACTCTTCAAAATCACGTCTTTTTTTTTTTTCGGTATCAGGAATCGAACTCAGGACCTTGCACTTACAAGGCATGTGCAGCACCAATCCCTGGCCCTCAGATTCATCTTATTGGGGATCTGAGAGACTCAAATGCAAGGGCTGGAGGTGCAACTCAAAGGAAGAGCCTGTGCTTAGCATCAGCATGCATGAGCCCCTGGGTTCTATCCCAGCACCACAAAAGCAGGCTATCAAACGTGTCAACCTCTTTATTTGCCAAACCCCTTTTCCAGTGGATGGTTCTCCAGGTGGCTCACAGAAGACCACTTTGAAGTCATGAAAGCCACAGATGGCTTTTCATGGAGCCCTTCTGGAAGATTTTTACCTCCCAGCTGGGGCAGGTCCTGCTTCCTTCTCCTTCCCGGCACGAAGGGAGAAAAATGCTTTGGGTTTTTCCCCTCACCCAAACACCATCTTCACCTTTGGCCTCCACTCTGTCAGCCACGTTCCTGAAGTCGCATTCTGGATGTTGTGGGCAGTCAGGGGTACCAAGTTTTACGTTAATAAAAATCCTAAAGACAAAACAATGAGGAAGAGAAACACCCACAATATTCAAGTGTGGATCCAGAGGACATTTTTAAAAACTAGCAACTTTCCCACAGGGTGTTATTCTTTAGAAGCCAAGTGTGAGAAATGTAATAATGAGAAACTTGTCTGGTGTAATGGATGGCATGCTAGCTTACCTGTGGCTCTGCTATTTTTTAAGGTTTGAAAAATGTGTGACGTGACTACTTCTTACATTTGTCCTTCTTAAATATTTGTCTCTGAACAATTAAAAAAGTTGACTTCAGTACTCTTTATACTGGCCACAGAGATGCACCACACACAAACCCATACTACAGCGGTAAGCGGTCCAAGCCCTCGGTCTGTGTACCGTTAGATTTTACCAGGCGAAGTCTGGATGATCTGTTTCAACTCAGACACAAACCCCAGGATGCGGATGCGCGAGTCCAGATTCCTGAAGGCTGCTGAGGTCAGGTCAGCACATGTCTCAGGAGCCTGTGTCAACTTCTGTGTCAAAAGGCACGGAGGCGGCGGAGGACAGTTGCTTCGGGATGCGAGATGCCAAAGGCAGGGTTAAACAGGCTTCTTCCAGAGAAGGGGTGATTGTACCTGCGCACGCTGATGCCTGTATACAGTACAATTACAGTCTTTCTTGCTTTTAAAGCTTAATTTTTTTTTCTTTTGAAAGACTAGAAGCTTTGAGTATTTATTTTCAAGTTGCCTGCCAGTCATTAGTATTTCTGAAAGTTCAAACTCTTTCTGGGAATGATGCAGAAACTTCCATGACTCTTTTTAGATCACTTTTCTTCCCACTGCCTACATATGAATGGATAGATGGAGGAAATATCTAGAGTCTGATTTGACCTTGTATAAATATTGACATATGTGGACGTTAAAGCACAGTAACAAAGAGAAAAGTACATTCTTTAGCCAACTCTGGAACTAAACATATTTCCAAATGTGTATTTTTCAGATATATTGGGTTGCTGTGTTTTCTGCATAGCCTTCATCCATGTATACAACACTTTCATCTTCAAGGCAGGAAAAGGCCAGAGAACCTGCTAGGACCACCTCGCCTCCAGCCTGTCTTATTCCTTATGAACTCTGAATGTGGTTTCCCGTTGGACCAGCTTTAGCAGGTTCTGGTTCCATACCATCACTAACCAATTAGTTATAAAAACACAGGCCTGGATGGAGTTATCTAAACCCTGATGCCATCTCAGTTACTGTGCTTTTTATTTTGGTTTCTAATATTGTGACAAGGTATGAGTAGTAGAGGGCACAGAGATAGTTGCGTTTTTAATGATCCACCTTGCAGCAAGTTCCTTGAAATCAAAGACATGAAATGCCTCGTAACCTCTCAACCATAGAAAAGGAGACTAGGATCTCAGTGAAGATTCACTGAGCTAATAAATAGGATGTTAGCAGTTGCTCATTTCTAGCATTTGTGAGCCAGAGGTTTCTACCATGTTAAATTTGGAACTTGTTGTTGTTGTTTTAAACAGGGTCTTGCTATGTAGTTCAGGCTGGCCTCAAATTCACTATATAGCCCAGGCTGGCCTGCAACTCATGGCAACCCTCATGCCTCAGCCTCCTGAGTGCTAGGAGTACTGGACTTCTGAAGTCTTTTCTAATGGTCATAAAACTATTATCTTTCTCTCCCTCCCAAAACACAGAGTTTAAAATACAGTTGTGTCACTGACTGATACAGCTAAGTAGGTCTTGCTTGGATGCAGTGACTGTAGCCACCAGTCACTGACTGTAGCCACCAGTCAGTGACTGGCTGGAGTCATCTGAAGGCTAAACTGTGCCAGGGTCCTAGGTGCCCTCTTCATTCACGTACCTGTGCCTCTGTGGGACGGCTGAACAGTGAGGGCCAGGGAAGGGCCAACCACCCAAAATCTTGGTGGGTCTGATTCTGCCACTGCTACCTCCACTCCCTACCCTGCCCCATAAAGTTCTGCTCCCCCAGAACAGGCCTCTCAGCAGGACTGGTAAGGTGCTTCCTCCTGTGAGAAAGGATTGGTGCCAGCAGGACAAGGTGAAGGTGCAAAAGGCCCAGAACCAGTTTTTCGGCAAAGAGGCTGTTTTACTTCAACTTACTGGGCAACCTCGAGACTGTGAACAACAATAATCTTGTGGCTACTTGGTACCCTTTGGTTCATCAAAGTCAAGCAGGGTTCCCTACCATGGACTTTAAAAAAGAAGTATTAGCATGTACTATAAATCTCCAAGAGGAAAATGTGATGCTATGTGACCATTAATCCCGATGTCACCTTCATTGGATTAAAAACGCCTAGGTTAGTAGAGCACTCTGCTGTGTCCGGGAGGCTCAGGGAGCCATGGGTGCCAATCCAGCCCCTCACCCTTCCTCTCTGGCACACTTGTCCTGCTCTGCTCTGCAGCTGCCATGGACTAAGCAGCTTTGCTGTACCAACCATGATGTTCCTGCCTCACAGCCAGCTCTCTGTGGACTGGAGCTGCCCCAAACAGAGAGCCAAGTGAAACCTCTCCTCCTTTTAAGTTGTGGGTGTTGAATTTATGTCCAGCAATGGGAAAGATGCCTAGTACATAATATTTTATGATTTTTAATAGCAATCCTCTCAACTTCTTCCAAAATAATGTCGGGTATTGGGAAATTCTGTTCTAACAAATTCACTCGCCACTGTGCTATACATCAGGGCAGCCTATGAAAAGCGCAAGAACATTGTGTTGGAATCCTTTACTCAGGGATGTTATTATTTAGTGTGGTAGGGAACTGGAAGCAAGACAAACTGAGTTTCCAACTCAAAGTTATACAAGTGTTAAACTCCAGGATTCCCTCTAACCTCTTTCATTTTTCTTTAGGAAAGTACTTTATTGGTCAGCCTGAGGATTTTTATATGACAGTCTATTGTTAACTGTCTTTAGAATGGAAACAGTTCAGAAAGAAACAAAGTTCCAGGCAGAGGAAACTTTACCATTTGATCATTTCACATAGTGAGTCCAGATCTATACTGTATGTATAGATCCCCAGTGCTTTCATTCTCAGAGTAACTGAAGGATGTTTGAAGTCTCCTTGCATTACCTGGTGTTAACACCACCACCAGACTATGCTTGAAGGGTCACAAGAACTGGAGTGCGTGCAAAGCCTACTGTCTATTAACAGCTTGCCACCCAGAAGATGTCTAATTTTGCAGTCTGGACCCACATTGGGGTTTTCCCGAGAATTTGACAGATGTGACTCCATCTCATAAGTAATATTTTTGTCCTCTCCACAGAATGTGAATGGCATAAAGTACCATGCTAAGAATGGTCACAGAACGCAGATTCGTGTCCGCAAACCATTCAAATGTCGATGTGGGAAGAGTTACAAGACAGCTCAGGGCCTGCGGCACCACACAATCAATTTCCACCCCCCGGTGTCGGCTGAGATTATCAGGAAGATGCAGCAATGATATGCTGGTTGTAACTGTGCCAAGACATCCTCACCAGCAGTTGCTGATTTTGAAAACAGCCACCTTTTTGCAGGGGAAGCACTCAGCAACCCTTTAAAGAAACAGAATTAAATGCATGCTTTAAATTTTTTCTGTAATTTTGGAATGATGTATCTTTGTAGAGTTAATGATTTTGTACATTTGCACATGTAATCATCATACCCATTTTCATTACTTGGATATATAAGGTGCTAAATAAAAAAAGCTCTAGATTCTTCAGCACATTTCCCCCAAAACAAAATAAAATTGAGGGCATGTTGCATATTGTTTAGTTGTATTGCAGTGATATCGATTGGGGGGAGGAGGGGCTAGCACTGAGAATTTTTTTCCAAGATTGTAATGTGATTGAAGTTTTTCAACACATCGACTCACCTATGTTCAAAACCAAAATAATACCTTCATTATTGAACTGGTTACCATGCCTTACATAATGGAGTTAGTATTTGTGAGTAGAAAGACATTAGGTAATGGAAATATAAATAAAAAAGAATGTTTAACATAATATGCTAAAAATATTTTCATATTTAAATAACATGCATAAAAGGTGTGCTTTCTGTGTTTTATATTATCTTGCAAATCCTTTTGCCCTTTAAAAAGCTGAAAATCTTGCCATCTGACTTACCAATCATTTGTGTTACAAGTGGCGTTTTTGTACAAAACATTCTATTCAGTTCACTCATTAACACATTTGTTGAGTGCCTGCTGGGTGTAAGGAATTCAGTTTGTACATATTGTTATTTGAGGACCAAGATAACAATTTAGTGAAATGCTTCTTCCCTGAAATCTGTTTGGAAACCAGTGTAAATTTTGTGTGTGTGGAATTTAGGTGTAGCTTCATCTTCCGATGGAGTTTTAAAGCACTTTGTAGTTCTCTATTGCCAACAATTTAATGTTTATGTGTTGCCAATTCTTGCAGCCACTGCCCTAACCAACCTGTGGGTTGCAAATCAGAATTAAAATTGTAAGCATGTTTCAAAGAGGAACATTTTTGTTACTGCCCTAATCGCTTCTTTTTCATGTTCATTGTGTTTTGAGACTTACTTTAAAAGCACTTTTCCCATCACATTGTGAACGTCTGCATAACCATTGGAAATGTCTGTTTAGCTTTATAAAACATATTGCTGAAATATGAAAATGAGCCTTATTGACAATTAAGTGCTTCTTGCAGCAGGTGGTCAAAGAAGAGTGACTAAAATGACCCTAGAGTGACCTACATCTGGACCATTCCTGAAGGTTTCCTCACCGACAGTACCATCATGCCTTGAGTGTTCTTTTCTCCCAAGTGCTATTCCTTAAACACGAGTTTACCAATTGCCTAATTATGCAATAAAATTGTTTTGAGACAGCTAACTGCCCACAATACACACTGGTTAAAAAGCAAACTCGAATTCCTTGTAACTTTCTTCCATGTTCCCACTTGATGAGAAATCTTACATATGGCTGGGAAATGGGGTCCCTCCTCAATTTTTCAGATATTTTGAAAAGATGACAGTTCTCTTAAACAGATGGGTTAGCTTCTATATTCACAACTTGGAATCCCTCATACTGAGAGATTTTAAGGTATTTATAAAGACACCGCCCATTAAAAATCTCAGCTCTCTGAAAAGTGGTCTTGGTCCTGAATATACAGTGTTATCTTAGATGTTTAAAAGGGTAATCCAGACATGAGAATCAACTAGTTGGTGCATAAGTTGGCTATTTCATATCTACCTACAGTTGACCAAAAAATTTTAAGCCAGCAATTATTGTTTAGCTTTGCTCCTTCTAGTGCAGGAAAACGCAGGCTGGATCAGTAGTTCAATAGCTAAACAGTCATAAAATAGTCATTGTGCATGTTAAATTTCTTTCAATGACAAAACAAATTCCAATTTCTACTTACTTATTCATTGTGACAGTATTACTAAACAGGTAAGGATGGGAATATTTTGTTATACCGTGTATAGTGAATGTATTGTACCGTGTCTGTGAAAACTGTGCTTTAAATTATATTTTCATATGTTTTGTTGGGGACAGAACACATTAAGTTTGAAAGCGACAGAGGTTTTACAACTGAGGGCAACTTAATCAAAATTCCTGTCAGGAAAAGCTGCTTATAAATGTAAATGAAATCACATTTAAAATAAACTGTCTCTGACCCAAAATAAATCTGGCTCTTTATTTTCATTAGTGTCCATTATAAAAACTCATATCAAGTTAACCATGGAAACTAATATATTTGGTTCAGTGCTTTGTTTTACCTTAGACTGCCTACGATTTTGCAGAATTCAGTTCAAATACAGATATTAGAGTGAATTATTTTTCTGTCACTAACAAATTATCATAAGCTTGGGACCAAACACTATTTAAAAACTAGTAAGTTGAATATTCTCATTTCAGTAATAGTGTACTGTAACATTCAAAGAATGTTTTTAGATTAGTGTGGCTCATAATTAACTGCAATGAAATGCTCAGTGTTGAACACATTTTACCTGTCGTATAACTTAACATTTCAGGAGCAGCTTCGGTGCTTTTCCATCTCCCATGGTGGCTGCAACCTAACAGCTGGCATCTGATGCCTAATACTGATTTTTCTCTAGACTTAAAGCTTTTTCAGAAGATTCCAACAATACACAAATTCTCCTACAAATACAAGTGACATGGTATGTATGCATTTCACATATAGCACTCCAGAAGGCCACAGTCTTGAGTATTAGATTAACTGCTTAGTTTGCTCAGAACAAACTTCAACATCGGGGTGGGGGGTGATACTGAGGATCTAATTGAGGACCTTATGTCTTCAAGGCAGGCAGCGGCACCAGAGCTAAGTCCCCAGCTCCAAACTTCAACATTTCTGACAGCTATCAAAGTAGCAAATCAAAAGTCAGTTCTTTAAATTCTTGACATTTACATTATTAGAATAGAGAGGAATATACAAGTCTTGTTTGTTTGTTGTTTTTTTGGTACCAGGGATCAAACTCAGAACCTTGCATTTGTGAGGCAGTCAGCAGCACCACTGAGCTAAATCCCCACCCCAGAAGTTTTTTTCCAATGGCCCAAGCCCCGCCACAAAGTTGAGGATGCTAGGTTAATGAAAAACTATTGCAAATGTATTTGACAATGAAACTACTATGGACCTCCAAAATGTATCCTCTTTAATGTTAGTATGAGTGCTACACAACAGAGACATAACTCATGATACATCTTACTTTGATTTGGGTTTATACGTTACATTTTTAATCACTTATTGAGACTGTTATTTCAAATAATCTCATCAGGAAAATGAGAAAGATTCTGATACATATTCTGTGATTTTTTTTTTATACTACAACCACTGTTATGAGGTCATTTAATACAAAACAAATTATACTGACTCATCCATTTGCCCATTCATTATAAATACAAATTAAATGTAGTTTAAAAATATTCTCTAAAAATTTGTCAAAATTAGCAAAATATACTTTCTATTTCTAAAGTCAACATTTCACATATAAAAAGAGTATTTGCAAGCATGTGATATCATTATACATGCAGCTCCATTTCTAAAAATTTTAAAACTATCATGGGATAAATTGTGGACTCTTCTGATTCAAAGAATTACTTCACAAAACTGTTAATGATCAATGCTTTTTATTACATAATATTTAGTAGTCATGCTCAATCAACATGATCAACAGAAACTTGTAAATACTCTGCTAAATAATCTAGCACACTATTACATTTATTTTCAGTGTAGTAACATTAAAATAATTCTCCTATCCTTTATTCATACAATTTTGCAAACTGGGGAATAAATAAAGATAGAAACACAAAAGAACTTTTCTTAAAGCAAGTAAGATTAACAGAGGCTAAAATTATATTTATTGATAAGCCAAAGACTGATCCTGACCCTAGTAACACCAAAATCAAAGTAGCTCTTAGAAAAGTGCTGTAGTGGTGCATGACAACTTAGTGGTCTATCTGAGGTGATATTTTTTTAAACTGCTAACATGTATTAACTCAATAAAAAGTAACTAGTCAAAGTTTAGAACATTCTGATCAAAATGGGTCTGAACATGCCTTTCAAACCCCTGCTGGTCATAGTCAGGAGGGAACTGCTCACTGCACATGGGGCACACCTTCCAGTGACTTTCCACGTGTTCTTCAAATTTGCTCTGATCATAGTTGGGAGGGAACATTAACTCACACAAGGGACACTTCTTGTGAACATCAAAGCTGAAAGGAAGAGGAAAAAAGAATTATATCTTATAATAGCAATAACTGTCAGTATATAAAAAGTTACATTTATCTAATTAGCTGATATCCATACCAAACAGCCTATTTTGAGTCTTTAGTTACTTCAAAACCTCTTTCTGCTTTTAAAGGCTTGCTATACAGAGAGAATGGTATACAGTAGCAGTTGGTTATTTTTAAAGCCTCTACATTTAGTTTTGCATTAGACCAACAAAGAAAACCTTTTTCATTAAAATCCACCAAAATCCAGTTGTATTATGTGTAATGAGACTTAATGCCCAAAATTCCTCAGGTTTAACAGAAGGGAAATGCCCTCTGTAAAACTAAAGGGATGGATACAAATCAATAGTGCTCATTTGTTTTTAACAGCTAGGAGATTTTCCGGCACCGGTTCTCAAGGACTTCATACCTTGGAACCATCCAAAGGCAGGTTAAAGCATTACTGCTGGGCCCTGTAGCTGGAGCTGCTGGGGACCTGGGCACTTGCATTTCCAACAATTCCCAGGAACTGTACCTTGAGAACCATTAGTTTTACACTGTCCTATGTAATTCTAAAAAGAAAGAAAATAATTACCTGGAGTCAAAGCAAAAGCCTGCTCCATGCCCACGTAAGTGCTGGCTTGATGGACCCGGGGGAGTGGGCACATTTTCATCTTCCTAGGCAAAAAGAAAAAAAAAAGCAATACTGTGAGAAAGTGAAACCAAATATAAATTGTTCAAGTAAGCCTGTATTGACTGTATATAGGAAGTAAAATTACAGACTTAAATTTCAGAATTTCACTACAGACTAATAGTTTCGCCTTAATATCCAGTCCCGCCCCGTCTGTAGGGCACACATCCTAGGCTGCACGGTGCCTGCAGAAACTGAGGCTAACACCGTGCATCTGCATATCTCTGTGCTCCTTCATACAGACCTATGATAAAGTTTAATATAGGAATGGTAAGAGGGCTAACAGAATAACACGGTAAAACAAAGCAATATACTGTAACAAAAGTTTTATGAATAAAGTCTCTCTGTTCCTCTCAAAATATCTTAATGTATTTTCACCTTTTCTCTTAAAGGAAGCATTTTACAGCTTTCTCTTTGGCATATCCAAACTGCAACAATCCCTTTTCCAGGGCTTTGGACCCACTGTTAAGTAAAACAGGGTTACATGAATAGAAGTACTATAATAACTTACTACTGAACATATTTTGGCAGTGAAAACTAAGAGAGCTACTAAGTGACCAGTGTATGTATGACAGATATAATGGACAAGGGAGTGATTCATGCCCTGTATGACATTTTAGCACACAGAGAAGCATGCAACTTAAAATGTAAGTTATTTATTAAAATTTCCACTTAATATTTTTCAGACCACCACTGACTACATGTAATGAAACCACACAAAGTAAACCACTGATAAAGGGAATAGTACTATAAAAAAGGAGTAAAATGGGGGCCAGGGATTTAGTTCAGTGGCACTTGTGTCTACCTCACAAGCACAAGGTCCTTAGTTTGATCCTTGGTACAAAAAAAAAAGTAAAATGGAGAAGTACCACACATGTGTATATAAATGAAGCTGAGAGCAGTAGCTTTTGAACCTATTTATATACACATATTTTGCTGACTTTTTATTATTACACAGACTGGGTGACTACTTCTTAAATGTCTCAAGACATTACTGCTCTAACTACTCATTTACTAACTGTTAATTTGCAAAAGAAAATATTTTAACAGGATGCACACCTACATCAACTACACAATGTACAGGAATCCTAAATATAGGAAAACTAATAAAATATATGTGAATTTGTATATATTCCTGGGTACACATGATGGCAAATCAAAACTAGAAAACACTTTAACACAAAACAATGCAACAAACCACAAGCCTTAAAACTGTTGAACAAATTCAATATTTGATTAATGAGTTTTTAAGTGAGACTTCTAAAAATAATAAACCTGAGTTTTAGTCATAAAGAAACATTAATATGGATTCCCATCCCTGCATCCCGGTCATTTTTAGAAATCTATACATGCTACATCAATACCCAAACCAGCCACTTCATTGAAACTGCCCTTTATTTTCTTTCTCATGGCAGCTGTTAGCTGCACCTGTGGCATGACCTAACAGCACACAAGCAGGGACAGTAGGCACTAACCAACATCCTTTATGCTGGGCAGTCCCACCTGCTGCTAGTAATGGCTAGTCAATGGGTCATGGAAAGAGGCACCAAAAGAGTATAGGTGGTATAAAAATGCAACGTGAGTGAACAAACCAAAACAAATTAAGTATTTTGATGGGTCCTGGCCATCATACTGACAAATTTCCCTTCTTGAAAGGTAAAGCAGAGGCTTTTTCTTTCCTTCATCTAAAAAAATGACTTGTTTACATCAATGATTGCTAGAGGGTTTATGTGGAGAAAAGGAAAAGAAGACAGATAATCTAATCAGAGACTGAGAAATTGGGGGATAAAACACAAGTATTTTACACACTTCAAAAACTAAGTGTTCAGGGGCCGGGGATTTAGCTCTGCCACCTGGAAGCGCAAGGTCCCGAGTTCAATCACTGGTACAAAAAACAAACAAACTATCAAAAACTAAGTGTTCAGGTAACTAAAATCCAGGCAGCTTTTAAATTTGAATGTATAAAGAAGAAAGTCGGGCGTGGTGGTACACGCCTGTAATCCCAGCACTGGGAGGCTGAGGCAGGAGGACTGATGTGAGTTCCCTGGGCTACACACGGAGTTCCAGAGCAGTCCGAACTACATAGTGAGACCCTATCTCAAAAACCAAAAAAAAAAAAAAGAAGAAGATAGTGATATCGTACTTCAACCTGCTAAGCTTCAGTATACATGACAGTAAATTTTGATTCTAAATCAAATTACTCTATCTCCCAGGTTTAGGACTTCTACAAACAACATCTGGATACTGAATCTGCTTAAATAACTAACACAATAATAATAATGTGCAAAAATTTCTCATTCATCTTTGAAAAAGAAAATCATTCAAAATTTTGAAAAGTTAAAATAATGAGAAAATAAAATAGGTCAAGTTTTGATATTACAACTGTTAGTATTCTTTTTGTGTGTGTGGTAGTAGGAATCTAACTGAGGACCTTGTGCTTGCCAGGCAGGCGTGGGTGGCACTGCTGAGCTATATCCTGGCCCTACTATTAGTATTCTTAATAGCAGATATTTAAAATAGAATGTAACTTCCTAAGGGCTAAGAGCACAGAGCAAAGAACCTCAGCCTTCTTTGCCAATTTTAAATAGCCAATAGCTTACACCATTTTTGTGTTTCCATGAAGTGCATTTCAGGCTAAAATGCTGTACTCAGACAAACTATCAGACATGGTAAACCTATTCATTAAATACTTGGAGAGAGGAAAAAAAATAAAAGCAATTTATGCTCTCTAAGCCATATATAACTTGGCAATGACAACCCTATTATTCTGTTATCGTTTACTACCTATTAGCCTAATAAAAGGGAATTAGTGGAACTTTTGTTAGGTCAATATCAATCTGTCATGAAATAAAGAAATCACCTATGTGGGGGACAGTTCAACACCATCAAGTATACAGTAAATCCTTGAAATAGTCAAATCATATAATATAGTCTCTTATGATACTCATAACACAGATCAATCAAATCTTCACTTAAGAATACATTTATTCTATTTTACTCATCTGCATGGTCAATGCATTTCCAAAATCAGGTAGATTAAAACTAGCAAATTAGATTGGGATGTAAGAAGGCAGACATTCTGTTAGCAACAAAAAACAGCTTTATGGGGGAAAGTAGTATGAAAATTCAAAATATCCAATGGTGTCAGCATTAGATCAAAGCTTTGTTTTGTTTTGGTTTTTTTTGGTTTTTTGTGACGGTCTCACTATGTAGTTGAGACTGACCTGGAACTCACTATGTAGCCCAAGCTGGTCTCGAACTCACAGCGATCCTCCTGCTTCAGCCTCCCGAGTGCTGGGATTACAGGAGTACACCACCACGCCTGGCTAGATCGAAGCTTTAATATAGCTCTTAAAAGAAAATGATGTTTACTGTTAATTTTTACATTTATAAAATGAATCATCAAGGTTTTATCAAATAGTCTTTATGAGGGCAAAAAATCATATAGTTATCTAGTTTAGAAAGACTTCTATCCAAAGCTATCAATTTCAGAACAGAAATTATAAACCCAAAAGGATTTATAGCAGATTTAAAGTATCAGTAGGGGGCTGGGGATTTAGCTCAGTGGTTCTGCTGCCTGCCTTGCAAGTGCAAGGTCCTGAGTTCAATCCCCAGTAGCAAAAAATAAAGTATCAGTAGGTATTTTAGCTGAACTGCTAAAACAATCTTAGAACCAAATTTTGAAAACACCATACTAAAATCTATTTATGAATAATTCCAAGCTATTAAATTAAGAACAATTATCAGTATTTTAACCCAGCAAAGATCCCAACCCCTTGAATAGTGTTCATCTGCCCTCAGATTCATCAACATACTATTTTTATTACAAACTGTTCTTTTGTTTGTTTTTGTTTTGTTTTGTTTTGTTTTGTTGAGATAGAGTCTCACTATGTAGTTTAGTCTCACTTAGAACTCACTATGTAGCCCAGGCTGATCTCAAACTCACAGAGCTCCTCCTGCCTCAACCTCTCAAGTGCTGGAATTACAGGTGTGCACCACCACGCCCGGCTTACAAACTGGTTTTTAAAGAGAACAAACAGGCTATGGTAAATTGGAGCTGTATTTGAAACTCAAAAACTTCTCATTCTATACCCCAAAACACATTATACCAAAAAAAAAATTTTTTTTTAGCTTGGATACTTGAAGTATTAAAATTAACTTCTTAGATAATTTTTAAAAAGGGGTTAGAACGCACTACATGAGGTAGTGCTTCAAAATATGAAGAATTACCATATTGATTAATTTGTGAGGAACCACAGTTTTTATCATGTCCAATTGTCTATTTTTTATTATGTCACTTATGCTTTTTATCTAAGAAATCATTGCCTAATCCAAGGTAAGTGAAAACACAAAAATAAATCCGAGTTTTAGCTCTATTTGAGTGAATCTTTGTATATGGTGTGAGGTAGGAATATACTTTTTCCAGCATGATTTGTTACAGAGACGATTCTCTTCCCATTGAACAGTTATGATACTCAATAAAATGGACTATGAGTACATACTGCATTTAAAAAGAGAAAACACAAAATAAAAATTTTAAAAATAAGACAATATGAAAAATGGCAAAATTTAAGAAACACAAAACTCAGAACAATGTAACATGACAAATGGCAAGCAGGCCTTTGATTATTTCAAGCTTCAATTTTAAATTGTGGAGTCACTGAAGCTTTAATAACCACAGACATTTTGAGAATAGATGCTAAAAATGTGCCATGAAAAAAACATGTATCAATAAAATTGTCTTCAGTTTGGAGTTTACTTTGAAGAACTAATGTTGAAAGCTGCCAACAAACCACACGCTAAAGTTACGTGTGAGCCTCAGTCTTTCAGAGAAAGAGAAGAAAGGAATGAAGGTAGAGAGGAAACAAAGGCATAAAAACAAGAGAGCAGTACAATATGCATTAAGGGAAAGAAAACAATCTAGCTTTAAATAATAGGGTTAGGAAGTTTAGATCTGTGCATCCTAAACTTTACCAAGATATGACCACATAAAGATTTTGCTAAATGCAATATGATTCTCAATAGGCCAGAGGTAGGGTATGAGATTCTGCATTAGCAAATTTCTACGAGACACCACAAAAGTTGATACAAACCACATTTTTTGAATAGCCAAGATTTAGACTCATGGTTCTAAACTGGGTATGAAAGTGCTTACAGCACCACAGAAACTTCAGAGGGACATTCATCAGATTCTGTGGAATAATTTTAATTTCCACTGAGTAAAAAACCAGCTTGAGACCACTCAGTTTCATCTCAGTGCTACACTCTTTTCACTAACACTGAGAAGCTGGGTCTTTGAGAAGCTGGGTCTCTAGCAGTTGAGGTGATACAAAGCAAGTGCCCTGTAAAAATCAACGTGAAAGAGGAAATGAGGATGGCTCGTCCAATATGATTCTAAGACTTGAAAAGCTGTATAGTGGCCAGCAGTCACATACATGTCCCATTAATAACTGTTGTTACTTCAGAATGAAATGAAATATTAATTTTTCCTTTCAATTTAGGTATACTATTTTTCCAACAGCTTACTAAATTTGTTAGGAGATAAATACTTATTAGGCATTTCTCTTGGCCAGGAGCTGCTATGGGGAAAAAAATTTACTAAGATTCTAGGGCTGCCATAAGCTGAAAAAGTATGGGACGATGGTATTGTCAGATTCGCTGATAGGCAGGTAAAAACACAGCTTCCATAGTCAAACTGAAGAGGTTCAAATCCTACCTCTATATCAGACATGTGAGATGAGGCTAGCTATTTAATCTGTTTCTCAGTTTCTTCTACTGTGAAACAGTGATAGGGATAGCTCCCACCTCTCTTAGGACTACAATGAAGAACAAATGAGTTACTGTATCTAAAGAGCTTAGCATTAGCTGGTAAACAGCTATAGAAATGCTTAGTGCCACCACCATCATAGTTATATTAGTTATTGCAATTACTAGGTAAATGGAAGTCATACAAAGTTTCTAACTGAAGAAATGATCAGTTTCTGGTGCAGAAGGGAGGAGATTATGGCAAGTGTAGGTGCTGGGCTAGGCTGAAAGTGTAGGCCACCTCAACCATGACTCAATGGTGCTCACTGGGGCTATGACTATTAATCACTCCCACGATCTCTTTTCCACATTGTTACTAAAATCATTTACTAAAAAACTTCATTTGCAAGTGATTTTCATTGTAATGACAAGAATTTAAAGTTTTGAATATACATAAAAACTGCTTTCTAACTAATGGGAAAAATCTGATTGCAAAATACAATTTAGTCCAAGTGTGCATACTGAGTCCCTCCATCTCATTACCAAATCTAAGGATGTCAGCAAATGAGCACAAGACTCTAACACCACTTCTCTTGGGTTTGCAGGAGGGCAGAGCACACAGATCAGAAAGAACATTCTGCTAATTAAACCAAAGCAGATGACTATAGAGAAGGGCTTGTCACATGTAACATCTGTGCCAAGAATGATCAGATTAAATATGCAAAATGTGAAGCAAAGGTGTGCAAAAACAGTATTATGATACTCTAGACCTTAAATAGGCTACAAAAGTTCTGACAGTTTTCCTAATTATTCCCAGTAATGGACATAGCAGGCCAAAAGGCAGGAGGAAGAAATACATTTTTCTCCATTATGAGTGTTGAGCACTGGGGCTAAAATCATGCCTGTCTGAACACTGATCAGTTTCTGCAAAGGTTAATAGCAATTAAATGCAGCAAACTAGATTAAATGAGAAACAGGTCATGATACCACTGTACTTGCAAAGAGCACAATAAAGCATTTCTTTTAAATCTATCTAAATGCACAGGAAATCCAAAAAGAGCTGCTATGAAGAAAAGAACCTAAAAAAAAAAAAGGGCTACTCTGAGAAACCTATTTATTAACAAAACTCAAATAAATTTAAAAATAAGATGCTACATAAACAAATTATCACTATCATATTGTTGCCACAGAATAAGAAATGCTACAAAATAAGACTAGCAGAGTATGTCTCTGAAAAAGAAAACTACACAATACGTATACTTCTCTTGTTTTCTAGCTAAAAACAGTAGAGTTTCACCTTAAAATTTATAGGAGACATTTAGAAATGGGAAGAAAGGAGCTAAAGGTGTAGAGAAGGTGGGATGGGTAGGGGAAGAGTAAAAAGGGAAAAGAAAAAAATGTGAGAGAATGAAAAGATGAAAATAAAGTGTTTGTAGATGGGGAAGGGAGGAGGGGGTGAAGGGAGGACAGGGACAAGGGGAAAAAATGAGAATCAAGACTTGTCATGTAGAGGTACAAGATCCCAACAATGAATGTAACTGTACTGTATCCCTAAAATGTACCAATAACCTCAATTAAAGCTAAAAAAATAAATAAATAAATAAAATAAAATACATGTAAAAAAAATTTATAGGAGAATATAAACACTAAACTGAAAATGGCAATATTTTGCTTTAGTATGCATCTTAGCACTTTGTTTCTTCTAGCCTAAGTATATCCATAAGCAAAAGAAAGTGATGCTTAGTGTTAAGATTAAGCTATCCAATAACTACACTATTCAGAGATCATTTGCTGAAATAATTCATCCTTTACTTTAGTATGCACATCCTAAGTATAAATCCAAAGCATATTTGTTGATTTTTCAAATTTAACTATAAGGAAGTTTTTCTAAAACTCAAGTAGGCAATCATATGCAAAAATAAGCATATACTCTTTCCACATATGTACACATCCTTAACTCTCAATTCTGAAAATAAAAGGGACAGGTTCAGACAACAGAAATTCAATTTACTTTGCTATCATCGGGGTCCTCTAAACCATCAGGCCGACTGAGGTTTCGAGCAGGCTGGCTGCAGACAACATTATCTTCCCAAGAGGGGACTCTCACAGGTGGCCTCTGGATTTCATCTGGGTAAAAGGCACCATCTGCTCCATCTGCAATAAAAATTTTGAATGAAAGAATACTGGGTAAAGGGAAGTAGGGAAAAAAACAGTTATTAATATTAACATCTCTATGTGTAGATATAAAGAACAGGATATAAAGAGCCATATTGGCACACCAGAAAAATACATGTTTTTATTTTTAACCTATTCATAATTTTTTAAATTGAAGTATTTATGTAGTAAGCAGACAACTCCTTCACAGTGCTTTGCTGGTGGTGATGAGGCCAGTAACAGTGTTACACATTAAAACTACAAATTATATAAATAAAGTGTTTCTATTAAAGCTGAAATTATAATATTAGCTATCTAACCCCATGAAATATATAAGCCAAAACCCCTCCAGATTCAGCTAACCCCAAGCCAAAAATAATAACCTCTTGTTTCCTGTGTGGCATAAGGGTTACCGTACTGCAGAGCTGGCTGTGCACTTGACAACATAATGTGTCCATTTGGCTCTGAGCATGCACTGAGTTCCTGTGAGACCTGCTGAAGATTATGGCCTTCCATTTTCCTCTCTGTTTGGTTTTCTACACCCCTTTTAAGTTCCTAAAATAGGAGGAAACAAAGATGAATAGCAACGCAATTACACATTTTATAAAGACAGCATTAAACATTTAGCTAAATAAAATTATTTCCCTATTATAGTTCAGGTATGCACTTGGAAAGGCCGGCTCTCAATTTCTCATAAACACTCCATCCACATTTAACAAAATCAGAAACCAAGGTAAAGCCCAATGTATTTTCAAATCTTTGTGCCAAAAGCACCCTTATTACTGAATGAATATAAGGGAAGTTGAATCTCTTATTACTTAGCTACAATAAAAATTTGAAAGTCCCTGTAAAAAGAAAAGATTGCTTTCCTAGTGAACTCAACATTAAAAGATTTAAAAAAAATACTAATCCTGCAAAAACTCTTTTAAAAATATAAAGGAAGAACCATTTCCCAGCTTATTTTATGAGGCCAGTATTCTTCTGCTATCAAAACCAAAGAAGGACATCTCAAAAAAGACCCGCAGATCTTGTCCCTCACACATATTGATGCAATAATCGTTATTAGCAAATCAAACCCAACAATATTACAGAATAAAATATCATGACCAAATGAGTTTTATCACAAGAATGCAATTATCTTAGCACTCCAAACATCAATGTAATTAAACATTAAAATAATAAAGAGGGGAAAAACTTCAACCTATTATGAAAACATTTAACAAAATTCATGAGCCATTCCTCTTTTTAAAAAATCTCAGCAACCTCAAATAGGACTTTCTTGTTTCTTTTTTTCTTTCTTTCTGTTACTGGGGATCGAACTCAGGACCTTGCACTTGTGAGGCAGGCGGTGGCACCACTGAACTAAATCCCTGGCCCCAGGACTTTCTTAATCTGACAAAAGGACTCTAAAAATCCTATAGTGGGGGCCTCACAAGCACAAAGTCCTGAGTTCAATCCCTGTAAAAAAACAAAACAAAACAAAACCTATAGTGAATCTTAACAGTGAAAACTAAATTATTCTATTAAATATCAAACATGAGGCAAGAAATATCTGCTGTCACTATTTCTGCTCAAAATAGCCAATGAAGTAAAGCAAAATTAAGGCAGAAAGACTGAAAAGGAAGAAGTAAAACCATCTTGATTCACAGATTACATGATATATGTAGAAAAATCCTGTAGCTTCTACAAATATCAGTGATTTTTCCCCCTCCCAGGAACCGGGGATTGAACTCAGAACCTTGCAGTAAGGCAGGTGCCTCACTACTGAGCTAAATCCCTGGCCCGAAAAACCAGTGAATTTAAACAAGGTCACAGTATACAAAAAGTCAACACGGAAAACTATATTTCTATATGACAGAAGCAGGTAATTAGAAAATAAAACTTTTTTTTTGGTACCGGGGATTGAACTTGGGTCCTTGCGTTTGTGAGGCAGGCGCCAAAACCACTGAGCTAAATCCCTGGCCCAGAAAATAAAACTTTAACAATTTATTTTGAGTAAAATCAAATACTTAGAAATAAATTTAACAAAAGACGTATTAAGTCTATACACTAAAAACAAAGCAATGCTGAGAGAAACTATAGACAGCACAAACCAACAGAAAAATATACCAAATTCATGGACCACAAAACAATATTTTATGCTATTAATTCCCATAAAGAAAATATAAACAAGCCGGGCATGTACACCCATAATCCCAGCACTCGTGAATTGAGGCAGGAGGATTGTTGTCAGTTTGAGACCAGCCTGGGCTTCAAAGTGAGCTCCAAGTCAGTCTCAACTACATAGTGAGGCCCTATCTCAAAAACTTAAAAAAAAGAGAGAGAATATAAACAAATGAGGAAGTACGTCATGGTCAAGGACTGGAAGACAGTAGTGCTACTAATTCTCTCTAAAATAGCTAAAGATCTGATATAATCCCAACCAAAATTCCAGCAGGCTTCTTTACAGCTTGACAAGATTAATTCTAAAATGTATTTGAAGACATTTAAATGACCTGTAATAGCCTATATTTACAAAAACAAAACAAATGATTCAGAAACATCCCTACTTACATTATTTTGTCATTATGCATAAGTATGTAACGTTAAAGAATTTATTCATTTATTGCGGTATAGGATAGTAAACCCAGGGCCTTCACAATAAAATATGTCCTCAAATTTTTCTATTATTTTGTAATTTGAGGCAGCTTCTCACTAACACACTCACTTGCACAGACAGGGCTAGAACTTGCAATTATCCCACCTTAGCTTCCCAGAGTGCTGGGATTATAGGCATATGCCATCGGACCTGGCTAAAAATTATCTTTTTAACAGTTTTCATTTTCTTTGGTAATAATTAATTTTTAAAATTCCCCATGATCTTATCTTTTATCATTATTTACCATGTTGCTTTTGTTTTATTACTTATTTTAGTTTATGTATGCATAATATTTTAAATAATATTTAATAAATAAACAATTCTGAATGGTGGTTTCAGAGTGGCATGAAAAATTTTAAGTACTTTAAGCTGTTGTTTCTAACTAAATTTAAGTTGGTAGATCTTTAACCTAAAATATGTACTAAAAAAAAATCATAAAAAATAAAATAAAATATGTACTAAATTACTTTGCATTACTAAAATTACTTTTAAAAAAATAAATTATAATTTAAAAATACTAGGAAGCTAGTTATTTTACTTAACAAAACAAAACAAAAATAAACAAATCCTTTTATTCCCTCACTTATTTAACATCTAGTATGTACCAGGCACTATTTTAGGCCTAGAGGTTTAGGAATTCCAAAACACACAAAACTCCCCGGCCTCATGAAGCTTAAATTCTAGAAAGAGGAAAATGGACATTAAAGAAAATAAAATTCACAGTATGTCAAATGGTGATAAGTCTCACAGAGAGGGTGGGGGAAAAAGAAGAAAGGCAAAGAGAGTATTTGGGAGGTGCTGCAATTTTAAAAAGAAAGGCAAAAGATCAGAGACTAGCAAGGCAGTGAGCCATGGGAATACCTGGGACAAAAAAGTTCCTCGTAGAAGCAAGTAAAAGCTAATGAGAAAAGTACATATATACAGTGAAACAAGCAGGAGTCAGGCTGTCATGAGACTGGGTCAAGTCACTTATTTCTAAACTTGTAGTTCCTGATACTATAAAGAATTATAAGATTATTTTTCAAATGCAAAAGTTATGAGGGGAAAAAAATATTATGTGGGGCCAGGGATTTAGCTCAGTGGTGCCACCACGTGCCTCACAAGCACAAGCACAAGGTCCTGAGTTCAATCCCGGTACCCGCCCACCCAAAAAAACTGTAAGAGCCAGACTTATTAGGTAGCTACTTTTTCTACTCCATAGTGCCTCACAGCTAACAGTCCAACCAAGCAATTTCCTGTCAATAAAACAGTGCATGTAATTTGAATGCAAGCCTTAACAAAGTTACAAATTATTATTTAACTTTTTAAAAAAAGAGTTGCTTTCAGCCAGGCACAATGATGCATGTCTGTAATCCTAGCTACTTGGGAGCTTAGTTAAGAAGATTAAAAATTCAGGGTTTTCCAAAAGTTAAAAAGCTGGGGATATAGTTCAGTGGCAGCTCAATCCCAACATAGCATACATGTATACATACATAAGTATATACATTCATACACACATCCATCCATCCAAAAGAATTGTCAAACTAATTCTAAATGATCACTTACAACATTCTAGGCATGGTGTTTAAATATACATTTCAGCACTGCATAGAGGATTTAATCCTATCCACCAAAGCTCAGGGTAGGTTTCAGAGTTCTGAGAAATGCACTTAGGGAACAGGCAAACATTAAGGAATGAAAAATAGCAAATACAAATTCTTACACGTATGAATCTTAAATATACACAATTATAAATCTCAGCAAGTACTATGGAAAAAAATACTGGTCCTATGTGTAAGTTTAATGGGGATACCTAATTTAGATTAGGAGATCAAAGACTGCCTCTCTGAAGAAGTCAAGAGTTGAAGGAACAAAGATTTCTAGGACACCATAGGCAGGCTGCATTATATATGAAAAATGTTGCTTGGTGCAGGGCTGTAAGAAAGAATTATGGCTGGAGAGATAAAACTGAGACTGGCTATAAGGTACAAGTGTTAATGATGGGGTAAATACAATGGAGTTTATTTTACTCTTTCTATTCTTACATAATATTTAAACATTTAAAAATTTTTTAAATGGTACATAAGCACATCCCTGGCAAAGGACATGAACAAGACCCTAAAACAAGAAATCAATTAGTGAATTCTATCTAAGCCCTAAGTGATCAGAGCAGTTCTCATACTATGATTCCCTGTCCAACAGAACCAACAGCTCATTAGCAATGAAGATTTCCAGCCCAACTCCAAACTTGTGTAACAGATACTCTGGGTGGGCCCAGGAATCTGTGTTTGAACAAGTGATACAAGTGAATCTGATACATGCTCAAGTTTGAGAAATACTGAGCTAAATACTGCATTTAAGGATAATGAGACAGGAAACTGCAGTTGAAGCTGGAACTAAAAAAAAAGTGGGGGCCATACCACGTACAATATCACAGGCTATGTTAAGATTTTGGGATTGTATCCAAAGTGTAAGGGAAGCCCATTAAGAAGCTTTAAGGAGGGCAGTGACTAGTTTCTATTTACAAAAGAACACCCTACCTGTACTTTAAAGAAATCTTTGGCAACCACTGAGGCGCAAATGGAAGCAGATCTCTCTCTGTTCCTGAGATTAAAAAAAACTCCCTATGGAGTTTGATTGCAGTCTTGTGAGAGGTCCAGAAACACAGGACCTAGCTAAGCCACACCTGGATTCATGATTCACAAGACTGAAAATTTACTCTGTGTTTTTAGACTAGGAGAGATCAGTATTCATTTATTTATGAGCTTGGGGGGGTGTACATATAATAGAAAGAGATACAGAAACAGAGTAACAAAGACACTTATTTTCCAGGTGTCTGCTAAGTACTTAGAAACAGTGAGAGCACACCCTCCGCTTCAAACTTGGACACTAAATTCCATTCTTCAGTAAAAGGACCTGGGCTCCGAGGGAGGAAAAATGACTCATTTCAGGCTGTGGCAAGACAAGCATAAGATGAATCTAAAACATCTTTTTATATCACCCCCCCAAAAAAAAGAAAAGAAAAGAAAAAAGTGTTCAAGGAATTTCAAAGGACATATTAAATGGACACAGGAGCTACTCTGAAGGAATGCTCATTAAAGACAATATATTCTGAGCATCAAGATGATAACAGCAAGTTACAATCCACTGAATAAAATAGGGATCCATGAGTCTACACAGGCAAAAATCAAGAAAAAAAGAAATAAAAATGAGAAAAGGGAAAGATAGCTCTTACAGAAAAAATCCTAACTACTCAACATTGAAAGATGATGAAAACACCAGGCATGATGGTGAATACCTGTAATCTCAGCACCCCAGAGGCTGAGGCAAGAGGATTGATGTAAGTTCAAGGCCAGCCTGGAATACAGCACAAGATCTTGCCTTAAAAAAATAAATTTTAAGTGTACACTACTTTAACCAAATGATCAAAGTTAAGATTATCAGTATTTGAACATATAAATTTGGTAGATACCCTCTCTCATCTATCATATATGCAAAAATAAGCAACCCTGATTATAAATTCTTTGGAAAAAAAGGTCCATTCTCATACACTGCTGGTAGTAGAAACCCAGTGGAAAGGAATTTGGCTTTATTTAACCAAGCTATGTGTGCATTTACCCATCAGTCCTGCAATCACACTTCTAAGAATTTATCCTGAAGGCAGAATCCCTGCAAACAACAGAAAACTATATATGCATAAAATGAGTCATTGCAGCATCACAGGTAATACAAACTACCTAAATGCCCAAATACAGGAGTTTAGTTGAATAAATTATGGTATGTACAAACAACCGAGTACTATACAGCTACCAAAAATTTAGAAAACTGACAATCTATGAGCTTCATATACTATACAGTGTTTGCAGAATATATTATTGAAGAAAGCTACATTAGGCAAAGTTTCAGGGAAAAAGAAACATATGCATATGGAATCTTTTTTAAAAGAAACAAAAAAGTATAAAATGGGGAAGTCTGAAGATTTTCTAAATTTGAACACTAAAATTTGTTAAATATAAAATATGTAACAAAAACTAAAGTAATAATTTTCAATATTAAACATTTTCCTCATATTGTAAAGTATTTAAAAGCTGTTGAGGGCCTGCAATTTAGCTCAGTGGTGCCGCCACCTGCCTCACAAGTGTAAGATCCTGAGTTTGAGTCCTGTTAACAATAAATAAATAAATAAATAAAATAAAAGCTGTTGGGCCGGAGATTTAGCTCAGTGACACTGCGCCTGCCTCCTCACAATCACAAGGTCCTGAGTTTGATTCCCCAGTATCAAAAAACAAACAAATAAACAAACAAAAAATGTGTGACACTATATATATATTTTAAATAAACTAGGCAATACCTTATCCCTGGAGAGGCTTTCCAACTGTAAAGTCAGAATATTTATTTCTTTGTCTTTCTCTGCCAACCGAAGCTGAATAAAGAAAGAAATTATCATTTTTAAAAATTTATCTTTAAACAACCTTATTGAAATAATTCCTATTATACAACCCATATATTTTCCTTAGTTCTTAGTCTTTAACCTTCTCCAAATTACTTTTCACTATCGACTAATTCCCCTTATTCTTAAAAAGCAGTTTTTTACTTATGTGAAACTATCAATATTGTTAGCCTCCATGTCTTTTTGTGTTTACTTTTTTTGCTTTTTGACATGTGTGTGCCTATTTTCTCTTCCCATAGCTTCTTTTCTCTGAAAACTTGGTTTCTTCCATACCTTCCACAACTACTAACCTCTTAGAAATAAACCACAAATACTAAAATTATGTACTGCCTTTTCTATTTCTCAGGTTCCAAATCTGCCTTTTTAACTGATGGCTAGACATGATTTCACTGCTGTCTGTTCCAAAATTTACTTTTTATATTTGTTAACAGATCCTCAAAATCAGAGCATGCTGCAATCGAAGCTTACCAACTATGTTAGGACATTACTTCTTTTCCTCCACTCCCCAGTATTTCACCCTTTAAGTCATTCATTCATTTAGTAACCATTAACTAATCTCCTATTATAAGCATTAATCAATACAGACAGAAATAAAATCATTCTTTCCTAAAGATACATTTCAAAGCTTTGTCTAGATTCATGTCATACTGTATCCAAAAACGGTATCCTTTATCAATTCATTCTAAGAACAATTATACCTGATGTGTCACCAAACCCTTCCTACCTCTAAATCCTCTCTTCAGTGCTATTACATTCTTTTCAAAAAGACCATTCTGGTTGGAGGTCACTTTTTTCTGAGGAAATTCTCAACAGCAACTAATACCCAAATTCCATTTTAGTTCTTCCAAGAGCTTCCAAGCTCAAAGCTTTCATTCAAGTCTACTCTATCCCATCACAGATACCAAAAGCTCTATTCCTCAGAACTGGCACGGTTATCTATTTCTGAGCTTCAAACATATATTAATGCTTTCCATACATATGTACACATACATATATTAATGCTACTTCTTCCTTTCCTACCTCTGCTCCTACTTCCCTCCAGTTTGTTCTCTCAAAAGTCTAGTTTCTCGGTAATATCTTCCTCCTAAATACAGAGTCAGCCAAAAAAATGTATACACACTTCAGCAACTCACAGTACTAATTTCTGGAAGCTAATGAACACCACTTGTAGAGGCCAAAAGTAACATCTATTAATCTCAAAATAAATTTGAGTATTAAACAAATTTAGTATGAAAATATTTATACAAGTCTTTCTTCTCTTAATGTATACTTTTTTTTTTGGCCAATTGAAAATGACCCTAAGGATACTTCAAATTTACCATCCATGAGAGGAAAATAGACATTAAACAAAATAAAATTCATAGTCTGTTAAATAGCGATAAATCCCACTAAATTCAATGTGACCAAACACAGTTTTTATATCAAGAAAATACTGTCTCAATTATCCACATTAAAAATGCAACGACATGGGCCGGGGATACAGCTCAGTGGCACAAGGTCCTGAGTTTCATCCCCTGTGCCATAAAAAAAAAAGCAATGACAGATTTTTAAAAGCATCAGGTAAAATACATGCTATTTCCCAGGTTTGTAAATAATGAGTCTAAACTTACTTTATAATTGTCTTCTATTTCAGCTAATTCGAGTTTTACATTTTCAGAAATTTCTTTCCATTTCAGTTCCATTTTTGCAATTTCATCAGCATATTTACTGCATTTAGTTTTCTCATCCTAAATGAAATTAATTAACATAATCACCAAAAGATTTTAAATCTGGGAAGGTGGAAGAACAGGAGAAAAGGGTAAAAGTACTGAAAATGATCAAGAGACTTCATTATATACATGTAGCAGTCCCCCAAAAGGAAGAGCACCAATTAAAATTTTTTAAATAATAATTATTGGTTAAAAGTATATTTAATTTGGACTGGGGAGAAGGAAAGATTTTAAATCCATATAAAGAGCTACAAAAACACTGATATATGCTAAATTTTTATTACAACATTTAACTGCTGTGACAGTATAAAAGTTGAGATGACCAAATATCTATCAATAAAAAATTATATAAGTCACCTATTCACTAAGTGGAATAGTATATATCCATTAAAAAATAAAGTAGATGAATAACTTGACAAAGGCAGATGTCAAGTCACATTAACTCAAAACAGAATATCATGACAAAAAGGTAAATAGGACAATTTCATTTTGAATATTTTTGTTTAAAGTGGAAATTAAAAATATTTTGATTCAATGGAAGAGTGCCTTTAAACAAATAATGTTAGATAAACTTTGAGTCATTCGTTCCATACTTCACGTCATAAATATTAACTCAAAATGGGCCACAGCTCTAACTATACAATTTTTAGATGACTGGATAATTTGAGGAGGTTGGTGGTAGAGCACTTCCCTACAATGTGAAAGGCTATTGTAAAAACAAAACAAAAACTTCTAATAGACAATATAAAGGAAAAATCTTTACTACTTTGGATTAGATATTTTTAAACATAGAAAGTAAAAAACATAAAACAAAAATAACTATACCTATCAAAATTTAAATTTTGTTTTTCTAAAACACCATTAAGGCAATAAAAAGGCAAAGCACAGATGGAACATTCACCATGTGTATACACACACACACACACACATATTAGAGAAAATATATAACACATATTAAATATATATATATATTAGAGAAAAGAGCTGTATACAGGATAAAGAACAATTACAAGATGAACAACATTCCCCACATTTTTTTTGTAGTACTGGGGATGAAATATACAAATACTCTGTCAATGAGCCACATCCCCAGCCCCCACCCCCCAACACACACTTTTTTTTAAAAAAGAGGGTCTTACTAAATTGCCCAGGCTGAACTTGAACCTGCTATCCCTCCTGCCTCAGCTCCCAAATCGCTGAGATTATAGGCATGCTCCACTGCACCCAGCTACCAACTTTTAAAATAGCAAATATCTGAATATTCACAAAAAAAGATAAATTGTGGGCTGAGGATTTAGCTCAGTGGTTCCGCTGCCTGCCTCGCAAGTGCAAGGACCCAAGTTCGATCCCTGATACCAAAACAACAACAACAACAACAAAAAGATAAATTGCAAATAGCATAAAAAAAGCTCAACATTAAGTTATTACAGACACATAAAATTAAAGCACAGTGACATTATCATTACATTTTCATTAGATTGGCTATGTAAAAAAGGTACAACAGTACTATGCAAAATAACTTACTAAACATTCACTTACCATACATACTCACTTTACTCCTGGATATTTACCCAAGAGAAAACAAAAGGCTGTATGTTCACACAAGGCTTATATACAAATATTCATAGTAACTTTATTTTTAACAACCAAAACCAAGCCCAAATAGTTATTCACTGATGAATATATAAACAAATTAAGATATATCCATAAATATCATCAATATCATAAATATCAGCAATAAAATGATATGGATAATGCTCAAAATAAATATGCTGAAAGAAGACAGGAAAAAAAAAGTACATACTAGCCGGGGATTTAGCTCAGTGGTTCCGCCGCCTGCCTTATAAGCACAAGGACCTGAGTTCAATCCCCGGTACCAAAAAAAAAGTACATACTAAAATGACTTTATTTTATAAAATTGTATAAAAGGCAGGCTAAGCAATAGTGGCAGAAAGCAGGTTAATGATTTCCTGGAGAGAGAGACAGAAGGAGAGACAAGCTGCAAATGAACACACAAAAAGAAACATAAAAAAACTGGAGAATGATGGAAATGTTGGGTGTCTTAACACTGTGGTGCTAGTTTCTGGAATACGAAACTGAAAACTGATCAAGTGGCACACACCAAATACGTGCAATTTATTGGAGTCAATCAACTAAAAATTGAAACTTTCCATCAATTGAAAGCTGATCAATTAAAATTGATCAAGTGGCACACATCAAATCGGTACAATTTTTTGGATTCCAGGTGTACTTCAATAAAGTTGTTGGGCCAGGAATTTAGCTCAGTGGTTCTGCTGCCAGCCTCACAAGCACAAGGACCAGAGTTTATTCCCAATACCAAAAAAAAAAAAAAAAAATTTTTTTTAAAAAAAAAAAAAAATGCTGGGCGTAGTGGCACACACGTGTAATCCCAGCACTTGGGAGGCTGAGGCAGGAGGATTGCTGTGAGTTTGAGACCAGCCAGGGCTACATAGTGAGTTCTAGGTCAGTCTCCACTACATAGTAAGACCCTGTCTCAAAAAACCAAAAAGAAAGAAAGAGAGAGAAGGAGGGAGGCAGGGAGGCAGGGAGGCAGGGAGGCAGGCAGACAGGCAGGCAGGAAGTAAGTTAGTTGTTAAAAAAAAAAAATGCACTAAGCTCAAAGGAATATTATTCTTTAGTATTATTAGTATATTTTTTAAAATATTCATTTACAATTGTTTCATCCTTAATGAAATATAGTTTAAACCCTTATAAATAGTTACAGTTATCCATTACTAAAAGAGTTGTGTTCTGAAAAATGTGTCATCAGGGATTTTGTCATTGTGTAAGTTTCATCCATATTGAAGATTTGTTCTGGAAATAATTTTCCTCCACAATCAGCTTTATCTCTAGTTTCCAAAATTTCTTTAGCTATCCTCACATAAGCACTTGCAGAAATCACCACTCACTTTCACGTTATACAATGAATGATTCACCTAGTTAACAGTAAATTCAACTTTATAGCTGCGTTCAGCCTTTTTCTTGAAACATTGCAATCTTTTTGCTTTCACAATAATCTGGTATCATGGTGCTGAATAGGATATGTTTCTGTGTCTGGCCTTCAAGTCAGCAGAAGTTTCTTAGGCTGGGGTAATGCTCAGTGGTAAAGCATTCACCTCACATGCACCAAGGGCATGGTTTGATCCCCAGCACCACAAAATTAGAAAGAAGGGGGAGAAGAGAAAATAAGGAGAAAGAGGAAAGAAAAGAAGACGAAGAGGAGGAGGAGAAAAGAGAGGCAGAGGAGACAGAAGAGGAACCGGAAGAATAAGGAGTGGTTTCTCCAATTTGATATACACCCTTTAATGAATTTTGCTAGTCTCATTGCTTTCAATAAAACATATCCTTTAGTAGCTTCTGTCACTTTGTTCTTTTCTCAAGATCACAGTTATGGTGGAATGGGATGCGTCTTATCAGTGAATAATATGATTACTGATTTTTTTAGTTGCATAATCTAATTACTTTTATTTATGTCAAGTTATGGCCTCTAGCAAGCAATGTGAGCAGTGGATTCTGTACACTGAGAGCCATGACAAAATAAACAACATGAAATTAAAACAATCATGGGATAATATAATGCAATCAAGAGATGCCATAAACACCAAAGATGTGAGGCTGGTGCCAGCATAACAGCATACATTTCTACTGTAAAGTGATTTTATTTTTTTTAAAGTAAGAAGAAGGACTATACTCTAAAATGATAGTATAACTAGAATAACGAATAAATAAACCAGTAACAGTCATTTATTTCAAATATTATGTATTGCCAGGGATTTAGTTCAGTGGTGCCACAGCCTGCCTTGCAAGCTCAAAGTCCCGAGTTTGATCCCCAGTACAAAAAAAATAAAATAAAATAAAATAAATATTATGTACTGTACATAACTGAAGGTACTATACTTTTATACAACTGGCAGTGCAACTTTTACACCAGCCTCACCACAAATATATATTATGCTATACGAATATATGTTCCAATCAGCCCTTAAACAAAAGAATTCTCTTAGAAAAAAAAAGGATTAGTTTGATTAGGTCTTATTATGTTTAAGCAACTAACATTTTTAAATCACATTAATAACGTTGAGCTTATCTGTAAACGTCACTCTGACTTCATTCTTTAGTTCAGAATACATAAACTGAAAAAACAGTCACATAAACAAACACAAGACACTTTTCCTCTCTACTCCAAAACACATACAAATGAGAATTTTTCCTTAAAATAGGCCAACAGTGAATACTACTAAGAAAGTTGCCAAAGTGGAAGTTGGAGTGATGATGTTAAAAATAATCAAAATAATACCATAAGAATCGATTCATTCAGTTAACATTCCTTTTTTCTATTGTGCAATATGACATTAAGCTATAAGATATCCAACTTTATTAGGTAATTGTAAAAGAACATTTCTCTTTATTATAAAGTTCAAATATTTTCTATGTATCTTTATAGGAAGAAGACAGATAATTTCCAACTTCAATTAATTGCTCATTATGTAAACAAAGATAGTACTTGAACAGAAAATACTGATTTTAGGATAACGATTTTACACAGATCTCTATGAGAAGGGACATAAAACACCACCTCACACATAAAACACGTCCCAAAAGCAAAAGTGAAAGTACCAGTAAATGGGAATAGAAAAGAAACTTCAAGATAGAAACTAATAAAAGTAATAAAGATAAGCTAAGCCATTTATATCTGATAAATGTGTATTTCACTGAAAAGGAGCTAACTTACCTGTAAGAGCTGTTTGCATTTATTATATTTTTCAGTTTTGTCAGCAATTTCTTTGGTCATTTCACAGACTTGACTCTTCGTTAGCACGTCAAAATTTGTCTCTGCTATAAGGCAGAAAATAAGATTGTTAAAAAGTATTTCTTCCCTTTATTTTCTTGTTCAGAAAAACTCCATAATTAGTACATTGTGAAATAAAAAAAGCAAAATACTGCGGGAATCATTTACTCATATCCTATATAAACAAAGGAGAATATATAAACTATGTGAGAATTTTTAAATGTCAGTTTCATCCAGAACCAAGCTCGTATTTAATACAAAAGGATTTTTTTTGTTACATAATTTGCTAAAAAATGGTTCCAAAATGGCACAAAACTTGTTCTTCTTATACAACAGAATAGACAAGATAAGAAAGCTATTCTCCTGAAAATTATCTTAAATCATTCTTCCAGTCCTTCATTACCATTTACTAAATCTTTATTAAGTAAAAATTCAAATATTACATTAGGTACAGGTTGAGTACTACTAATCCTAAAATCTGAAATTCAAAATGCTCTGAAATCTGAGACTTTTTCAGCATGACATGGCATGCAACAGAGTTTCAAATTTTGAAGTATTTCAGATTTTGGATTTTCACAGTAAGGAATAATAAACCAATAAAACCTACACAAATATTCCAAAACCCAAAACACTTACATTCCCAAGCACTTCTGATACTCAACCTAAAACAAGACTCACAGAAATGGAAGACTGGATCCTGTCCTGGGGGGAATGAAACTAATTAAATATTTAATATGCTAGGATATTTGTATTATGAAAAATGTTTAAATGTCAATCACCCAAAGCATTAAACAATTTTCTCTTGTTCTGACTCTCATTATTGTCAAATCTCTGATGTACATAAAAGTGAAAAAGAAGTCATGATAGGCAAAAACAGAATTAATTCAAATTTTCATATTAATCATGTGTGCACTGTTTGTTCTATAATAAATGGATCAATAAAAATTTAACTCAATAACCAACAAGTACACTAGTGAGTGCAGTATCCTAATGACCTATGCAGCCAAACAAAATATAAAAACAAAACACAAGAGCTAGAAAAACCTACAAGATAGGTGATATTTCTTCCCCTCCAGAATTATAAAATTAAATGACTACAGATAAATGCTTCAAAATTCTAGATTCAGAGGAATATAAAGTAAAATGCAATTTTTGGTAAAAAGAATTTTTCCGTTTCAAGATAAAAGTGGCCCATATCTTGAAATGGAAAACTCTGAAGCATTTATCTGGAGTCATTTAATTTTATATGGACACCAAGTCATTTTTAAAATTTGCAAATATTCTCATAAATATCAATACAAATTTGCACTCATATTTTATACACTCACTACATATGTAACTTCACTTTACATTTACATCTTTATTTTCCCCTTTGCCTTACCTGCCTCACTGAAGGATCTTTACAAGCATTTAGAAATTCTTAACCCATGGGAGAAGGCAGTATAAATCAATGTAAGTAATTTTCAAGGCAGGACACCCTAACATCTAAAAGATGTTTACCTGCAGAAGGTATTGGTGGCTTTATATCAATAGCAGAAGCAGAAGCAGAAGCAGATGACTCTATGTTTATTGAAGCATCATTCACTTTCTGTTGATTCCCAACTTTCTTTGTGCAGACACTATTATTATTGGCCTACTCAAAATATTAACAACAGATTGTTAAATGAGTCTACGGGTCATATTTTCTTCCTTCAGTAAATATGGAAAATAATCATAAAAAGAAATTCTGAAAGTTCTAGCTACTGTCTTAAAAGCCAACAAAGACTAAAGTTATATATATCATTCTCCTAATTGATCTAAGTCTGGCAAAAAGAAAAATAACTTAAGCTTTTTGGTGTGAAATCAGAAAAACTATAGTCTTTCATAGAAATGTCACAAATTTTCTACTACAAAATCAAAGTGTGTTCAAAAGCACACAAATCAAAATCTATACATGTGAGTCATATTTAAATTGAAATATTCATGCTTTTACCACATGCCTTCCTTGCTCTTTTGTCTCCTTTCAGATTTCAAAAAGTAAGACCAGGAAAATAGTATCTGTATCAAGTAGCACGCAGTATAAAAACAACTATGGTCCCACTTGCATTTCCAGATTTCAAATATGTTTCTTCTATAGTTCAAAGATTCTTTCATATGGCAAGCCTTATATTTAAGTACAATTTAAGGACCCATATTAATACACATACACCCCTCAAAAACCTTTTCTCTTTGCCTTTTTACCAATCATCCCCCCTACTCTCAAATGAAATATCAAAGAATTACCTAACATTTTTAACTCTTCCTAATCTGGTGGGTATGGGCCAGATAGAATAACTCACCAATGACAACTGAGAAAGCAATGACATGTAAAACCCTAGGGATGGATCTATGGTGAATACCAATGAGAAAAGGCATCTTTGTCACAATGAAATTTAATGTGTATTGAGTGCAACTGACAAAGCTATTCATCAAGAACTTAGAAATGGTCTAAAAAGAGCTGCTTCTTCTTGCTGCTGACCTTGCTTCCTTTGTAGGTTTCTCCAGTAAATAAAACTCCAGATTTAAAAAAGAAAACTTTTCATTCTAATATCAAGTCAATTACTTGAAATCAAGAATAATTATATTCAACAGGATGACATTAAGCAGATAATAAATCTTATTTGAAAACAAAAATGTTAACAAAGGAAATGTGAACTTGAAGATTCTTACTGATTGCTCTGTAAGTTTGTTTACTTGTTTTTGGAGCCTCTGGCATTCTTTAAATTTTTCTTTATAATGATCTGCAGCCATCTGAAGACGGAGTTTCAGATCTTCAATTTCTCTTCTAAGTTCATGTTCCACTGTATCAGTCTTTTTCTAAGAGAAAACAAACACATCCACTAAGACAGATAAAAATTTGTTATCTCCTAATATAATAATATATCTTAATTTCAGTTTTTTCTAGCTTTTAATTTTTATTAGTTTTGGGGTTTGGGCCACAAAGGTATAGTAACTCCCCTATTAAATCCAGCTTTCTATTCTTAGACTAAGGTTCATTTAAAGAACTAGAGAAAGATCATCTCCCTCCTGAGGAGCAATAATCACTCTCTTAAACAACCATAGTACTCTTATATAACTCATAGCAAGAAGTTCCAAACCAAGCAACATATACTTGACATCAAAAATATTTAATAAAGCAGCTTGTCATTAACCGATTAGAAATTATGCTTACAGAAGTTTTTCTTAATACTTACACTAATTTCAAACCAAGAAGTTACAATGACCAAATACTGAATGGAATTTTTAAATTTTCTCATCAGAAATCTGACTTGACTTAATTTTAATGTAATTTACTCTTTTGTTAGCTTATGGTGGTTTTTGGACCAACAAAGAAATTCAAAATTAACTTGCTTACCTGATCTTTTTTCACAGCAGTTAGTTTAAGTTCTGCCAGTGCATCAGCTAACTGCTTTTTCACTTTCTCATTTTCCACACGCACAGTATGTAAATCTGCCATTGTTTTATCTCGCACATTCACAGCATCACTAAGTTCTTTAGCCAAAAAGGCAACTTCTTGACGAGTTGCCTGAACTTGTTCCTCTGCTTTACGAAGTTGCTCTTTTAACAAGAATGTATCTTCCTGAAGAAAAGCAGATATATAAATTAAACCAAGTAAAAAAAGCATAAACAATTTTTACACATATTTCAACAGATCCAAATTTTTAAATTAAACACAGTATTACATCTCTACTCATAACTTACAGGAAGTACATGTCTATAAAAAACTGAAGATGTGACTTTGTTTGGAATTCCCCATATAACTACTCTCTACTGGGTACTACTGCGATTACTTCATACATGAGGAAACTGAAGGACAGAATGGAACTCAGGTGACGAACCCAGTGCTTAAAGTCCTGGCTAAGATTCAAATGAAAGCTCCTAAGACTCAAATGTTCCCTAGAATCTCTCTAGTTGGAACCACTGACCTTTGTTTTTTATGATTATAATAAAAACAGCATCATTATTTTTTGTTACTGGGGATAGAACTCAGGTTCTTGAGCTTGCAAGGCAGGCAGCAGAAGCACTGAGCTAAATTCCCGGCCCCTCAAAAATTTCTTTGTAACACCACAAATGCTGATTAAAAGATGTTTCTTATTTTTTAATCTAAGAAACACAGTAATGAAATATTTAGCCTATCATGAAAACATAGAATAGATTTAAAACTTAGTTTTAAAGCAAAATATTGTTATATAGATAGTAAAGATGAGGTACTGGGAAAATAAAATTGGCAACTCTTGGGCCAGGGATTTAGCTCAGTGGTTCTGCCGCCTGCCTCGCAAGTGCAAGGACCCGCGTTCAATCCTCGGTACCAAAAAAAAAAAAAAAATTGGCAACTCTTAATAAACCTAAAACTACCATTAAAAAGTTAAAATTGTTGACCGGCGTGGTGGCACACGCATGTAATCCCAGCACTCAGGAGGCTGAGGCAAGAGCATCGCTGTATATTACTCAGCCATAAACAACAAGAAGATAGATTCATTCATAGGAAAATGGATACATATTGAAGATATATTCCTAAGTGAAATAAATAAGGCACACATGTGTAAATACCGAATAGTTTCTCTGGTGTGAATAATCTGCAATAATACAGAAGATCCTAATAAGATTACTGACATTGAGAAATGGGAAGAAAGGAGCTAAAGGTATAGGGAAGGTGGGATGGGTAGGGGAAGGGTAATAAGGGAAAAGAAAAAAATGTGAGATAATGAAAAGATGGAAATAAAGTGTTTGTAGATGGGGAGGGGAGGAAGGGGTGAAGGGAGGGCAGGGACAAGGGGAAAAAATGAGAAGCTCTAATATGAGTTAGATATTATGGACACAATTAATGTAATGTATTCCGAGTTTCCTATTTTTATCTCTGTACTTAAAAACAATGCAAAGTAAGAAAAAAATGCAATCCAAGGTTGGTTTTTAAAAAGAAGAAAAATTGTAAATGATTGTGTGATGTTGGGGTAGATAAAAATCTTTGTAGGCATAACACTAATAGTTCTAACTAAACAAATACTGTCAACTTTTATGTCAAAAGAGAGACAAAAGGGCCAGGGATGTAGCTCAGTGGCATTGTGCCTGCCTCGCAAGGGCATGATCCTGAGTTCAACCTCTGGTACCAAAAAAAGGGAGGGGAGACAAAAAGAGAAAAAATATTTAAAATATATACAAAAAAGGTATAGTACTATCTGATATAAGCAACTTTTCCAATCAATATAAATAGAAAAAATGCCCACACCAAAAAAAGTGAAAATACGAACATGAAAAGTTTTAAAGGAAATAACTATAATGCATATCAATGCAACTCATCAACAATCAGAAGTTACAACAAACACCATAAACATTCTTTCAAACTGACGTAAGTTAAAAAACTGTCCCATCAATACTTAAGTGGATCTACAGAAACTGGCACTCACAATTAGACTTATCTACACTGTAACGGGTATAACCTTTCTCAGCAAACTTTTTCAACACTCAATACCTTAAAAGTTCTCTTGAATTTTGATCTAGCACATTTGTCTTCATAAGTATCTAAAACAATTACAAAAGGGTATGAATATAGATAGGTTTAGATTTAAAGAAAGATTTGGTAAAATATAAAAATAATGAAAAATTAAGAAACTAAAACGTGCAGTAAGATGAAAATGTCTAAATAAATTATGACATACTACCTCCACATAATGAAAGTTTATACAGCCATTACAAATTGCAGGATATCTCATACACTATTGCTAGGAATAAAAATAAATACAACATCTTTTGGGGCCAGGGATTTAGCACAGTGGTTCTGCCACATGCTTTGCTAGCAGAAGGTCCTAAGTTCGATCCTTGGCACCCAAAAAAGAATACAGTGTCTTTTGAAAGGCAATTCAAAAATAACTATCAAAATGTACTCATTGACCTAGCAATTCCACTTTAAGGAATTTATTCCACAGATTTAGACATGTGCCTAGATACCTACATAAAGATGTTTATTACAGCATACTCATAAGAACTAAAGATAGGGCTGGGGATGTAGTTCAGCAATGCCACACCTGCCTGGCAATTACAAGGTCCTGAGTTTGATTTGGGGAGGGGGAGGCATAACACAGGACCTAAAGATAGTAAACAACTAAGAACAATTTTACATTACACAGCTGTTAAATAAAAACAAGAAATAATATGTTTGCAAGGACAAAGTCCCGAATTCGATCCCCAGTACCCCCCCAAAAAAAGAAATATTATGTAGCTGTTATCATGAATAACAAAGACGTATATATGTATTCATCATACAAGATATCCAGACACTATAAGATTTTTTTTTAAACTAGCTTTGGAACAGTACATATTATATATTATCATTTGAGTTAAAATATAAATATGGTGCATTCACTGAAGGTTTGCAGAAAAATAAAATTGTACAGCATTTTATTTAGGAAAGGAGAACCTTTTATTGTATACCTTCATGTACTGTTTATTTATAATCATGATCTCACATAGCTTTTGTAATCTAAAATGTTTTGGCAATTAGTATTTTCCCTAGGAACTTCCATAATTACGTTTTTTTCTTACAGAAATCTTGCTTAAATAGCAAAATGATACAGATATTTTAACATCTTACTAAATAACAAATAATCAAATACACTTCTCACACTTGTATTTGCAATTTGCTCAATTAAAAGAACAATTTGGGGCTTAATCATTATTTCTAAATGTCATTCACTTCTAACATTTCAGGTTTTATACTATGTCTGAGTATATTTCATAGTAAATGTTGAAAGCAACCTAATACTCATCCATGAAAGATATGGAATAAATGTAGGTAAATCTGCATAATGAAATACTATGCAGCCATTGAAAAAAATTACTATCTCTATAAAATGACATGAATGACAATTTATATTGTCCAGTGAAAAGAGGGAAGGTACAAGAGTACAGATAGTATGCTATTTTTTTTTTTTTGGTACCAGATATGGCACTGTGCCACTGAGTTAAATTCCCAGCCCTGCTTTTTTTTTTTTTTAAAGAAAGAGGAGGCTAAAGAAACACCTGCCTGCTGCACATATGCATATAAAAGTTTATTTTTCAAAAAAAGAGACATGGGGAAGATAAACTAAAAAGTAATGAAAATGTTTCCCTAAAGGAATAGGTATGGAAAAAAGGAAAAATAGGGAAGAAACTGTGAGTAAATTTTTTTTTTTTTTTCTTTGACACAGGGTCTCACTATGTAGTTGAGACTGACCTGGAACTCACTATGTAGCCTAGGCTGGTCTCGAACTCACTGTGATCCTCCTGCCTCAGTCTCCCGAGTGCTGGGATTACAGGCGTGCACTACCATGCCTGGCCTGTGAGTAAATTTTTTTTTTTTTTTCTTTGACACAGGGTCTCACTATGTAGTTGAGACTGACCTGGAACTCACTATGTAGCCTAGGCTGGTCTCGAACTCACTGTGATCCTCCTGCCTCAGTCTCCCGAGTGCTGGGATTACAGGCGTGCACCACCATGCCTGGCCTGTGAGTAAATTTTTAAAATCATTTTGACTTCTGAAAAATAAAACTGCTAATACATTAAAAAAATAGAATTAAATCAAAAAAGGGAAAAGCACCACTGCCTGCCTTGCAAGCGCAAGGTCCCGAGTTTGATTCTTGGGCCTCAAAAAAAAAAGAAAGAAAAGAAAAGCAAATCTTTTACTGCATTACAAATTTATAAATACATAAAAAAATTAATTCAAATTACTTATGAACACGGTGCTCCATACACCCTTAGAGAATTACACTGAAAGAAAAAAAGTTAAAAAAAAAAACCTTAATTTTTTTTTAGTAGACTTATTGTTGGAATAACATTAACATAGAAATTCTGATACTGTTGGTGTATATAACTAAACAGAACACATGAACTATGTTTTGAAAACAAAAAGTCCTCACAATGGGAGAAAAATATAAATACAGAATAGAGAAAAGTGAAGTACTGTAAGACACTGACTGACTAGATGTGAGTTGGAGATATCAATATAAAGATTTAAAAAATTACTGGAAATGCACAGAATGCCCCTTTACAGTAGCAACAAGATCCAGTTCTTGGTTTCAAATTTCCAATTCCTGGGCTGGCGATATAGCTCAGTGGTAGTAGAGTGCTTGCCTAGCATGTGCATGACCTAGAATTCAATATCCAACCAAAAGCAAAAAAAATTCATTCACTACCAGAAGAGTCAGGATTCCTTGAAGAAATGGTAATAACATTTCTAAGACAAAATATACAACTGTGCCATAAAGCAAGTATTCAAAGCACTATAGAGACTGAGACTGACTCTAGAATGTATGACTGATTCATGGTGTGGCTAGGCCCAAGAGCACTCGGATTAAGTATATGAGTGTTACCCACCCTAAGTAGTATAAATATAATAAAAGGGGCAGAAACGCCCTCTTAAAGTCTCTTGCTTTGGCTGTCTTGTCATAAACTGTTGCCACTCTGCCATTTTGCCTTGGAGCCACTGAGACCTGTAAAAACTGTAAGCCAAAAAAAACCTTTCCCTCCTTAAATTTCGGTGTTGGGTATTTTGTCTCAGCAATGAGAAAAAAGTAACTAACACAGAAACGTAACAAAAGCAGGATTACAAAGGATCCTCTGGTTAAATCTGAGTGTGAAAAAGAACAATCGTGATATATACAATAAAACACTGAACAAAAAGGAATACATACATCCATGGTGATGTTTTTAAAGAGGGAGACAGGGAACAATACGAACCTCATTATAAAATATCAACTAATAAGTATAAAAGTAATGATAGAAATTAAATCACTACTATGCAACCTTTAGTATAACAGCTAATCAAAGTGAGGATTATCAAAGGATAATAAAACCACCAGGTATGTCTGTTGAGAACTGTATAACTGCATGATCTCCAAGCACTATCCTACAAATTGCTTAATAAACACAAAAAGAGAAAAGAAAGGTATCTCTATAACAAGCAGACATTAACTTTAAACAAATTACCACAAGTTAACATCATCAGGAATGGAATGACATCACATGACTTTTGATATGAGCTGCAATCAACCACATCTTTCCTTGCCAAACATGTTTGACCTAAGTCCAGCCATGATGAAATAATAGACAAAATCCAGATTATGGAACACTGTTTCAGACGAGCCTTGTATCTTCAAAAATATATGCCAGGCTCGGGAGATGGCTCAGTATTATAGCACCTGCCAAACATGTGAGGCCCTGGGTTCAGTCCTCAGCATGAAAAATATGAGATGTGATTTTAAAAAATACAGGGACTGTCAAGTGTTATTTTAAAAAACATATTGCAATGAAAGACACACTAATATTAATTCCTTTCAAATGATCCCTCATCACTTCAAACACACCTGTCTCATCATTCTTGACACTTTTGAAGCAGTTCTAGAAGTCTTCTTTTTTGAGTGTCTTTAGGCCCATCATTGTGAGTGCCTCAATATCCTGAATCAATTCACAACATTTACTGTTCATGGTCATTTTAACTTTGGAAAGAGCCAGAGATCACATGGTACCAGATTCGGTGAATAAGGTGGATGGGGACATGCCATAATGTTTTTTTTAATAAGCCTGCCTTTCTGTTGGAAGGCCCTCAGTGTGAAATTCACTGTATTTTTATCATATCTTATAAAGCCCCTCAAGAATGTGTGCTTCCAGAACTGCTTTAGAAAGTGGCAAGATTAATGGGATAAGTGTGTTTAATATGAGAGGAAGTATTTTGAGGGAGATTAATGGCAATGTGTCTTTTAATGTAATAATCTTTAAAAATTTAGATAAATTTTTATTAGCCTCTATATGTGCCATAAAAATATAAAAATATTTCAGATTAAAACAGACTAAAAATATAACAATCAAATTAATATTTACTCTCTGACTACCACCGAATCAAAAAAATTTTGTTACACTAAAATATTTTGAATTGGAAAACAGAATAGGTATTCAAGAGAATCAATGAATTAATATTATCTTAATCATTATTAAAAGTTTTGGAAATGATAATAGCATGATGGTTATACTAAAGAATGTACTTTTTAGCCAGGAATTTAGGTCAGTGGCACCGCACCTGCCTACAAGCACAAGGTCCTGAGTTAGATCCCTAGTACCACAAAAAACAGAATGTACTTTTTCATGCTATATTATTAAGGGTGCATTACCACAAGTACTGTTACTAACTTTCAAACAGGGTAAAAAAAAATCATAAATGGGAAAGATAAAATAGCAAAATACTTCAGAGTACATAGTTATTTGTTGTTCTTTCAACTTCTCTGATTCTAAACTTTTTCAAAATAAATGGGTAGGAGAATTAAAAATAAAAACAATCACTGCACACATTTAACAAAGATTTTTTTAAAACTTCAAATACATATTACAAAAGTACTTACTTTATTTGAGGCTGTAAGCAGGAAAGCCCTCTGCATGTTTTCCTTCTCAGCCAAGCACAACTGAAGTCTGCCAACCTCTTCTTTGAAATGAACAATCATGTTTTCTTTGTTTCCATCTAAATTTTTTAAAGTCTGGACCTCTGACACAAGTTTAGTATTTTCTATTTCTGTATTCTTCAAATGTACCTGTAACAGTGTTTGAAAATGTCAAGAATATTCCTTCTAGATCCATGACCTAAATTGAATTACTCAAAATTTAAAATATTATATTATATATCTCTAATTCAAAAATGATCAATAGAGGGACTAAAATTCAGGAGACCCAAATTCTGCCAAATGACTACCTAAGCATATAGGAGAAGAGAGCTTTGCTAAGCCCTCCCCAACCACACACACAACTTCTAAGTAATTTTCCTGATCTCGTAAAACTGCTCCTCTGATTTAATGTAAATGTCATTTAAAATGTAGAGTGGACATGTAGTACATTTTAAAAGATAAAATATCTTTTAAAATGTAAGTGGATCCAATTGTTCTTTTGGGGAAACATGTTATGGGCATATCCAGATATGAAGGCATTTCCAAATTCTGGAAAACTAGAAAGGGTACACTAAAAAACATTATCTGAAGCAATTCAATCTTTTGCTTTTAACAGTGCTGTCATTTACTTCCCATGTGTCTAAAAACATACTTTTATGTTAATTAACCCAACACTCCTGATTTTCCCCTGAATCCTAGCTGCTGCTGATTTGCTCATGACAGATATACAAATCAAATTCAACAACTGGAATTATAAAGAATATAAATACCCAGTGTCCACTAACAAAGGTATCTTACTTTGGTTAAGAGCACTAGAGAGATATGAATTACTCCTGACACTGGGTATTGAACCTAGGTCCCTCACACTAAGGCTACATTCCAAGCCCTTCTTATTTCCTAGTTTTAGACAAGGTCTTGCTAAGTCCATGAGTTACTCAAACTGGGCTTGAACTTGCCATCTTCCTGCCTTGGCCTTCCACCACCATGTCCAGCTTACACCTCATTCGTTTTTTTTTTGGTACCGGGGATTGAACTCAGGTCCTTGTGCTTGCAAGGCAGCCCACCAAACCACTGAGCTAAATCCCCAGCCCCTACACCTCATTCTTTAAATGTACAGGAAACTGTGAGGCTAATTCCCATTCACAATGGTAGCCTATAACTGCTGCTTCTCCGAAAGTGTCAGCAATCAATGTCTTTCCAGCATCAGTATAAAACTCCCTAAGTTTTATATCGTCAGCTCATGAAAGTGCAAAATGAAACTGACAACTCAGAATGTTCTTTATGTTCCTCATCTGGAACTTCCTTAGGGAAATATTTATTAGCTACTTCAGAAAATTTAGTCTCTGGGCTGAGCTTGGTACACCCCTGCAATCCCAACACTCAGGAGGCTGAAGCAGGAGGACAGCTCTGAGTTCAAGGCTACACAGTGAGTTCAAGGCCAGCTTGAACTACACAGTAAGACCCTATCTCAAAAAAAAAAAAAAAAAAAATTAGTCTCAATTTGCACCCACAGCATGATTGACCCTTAAGCTAACTATATTGTAGGAATGCTTAAAAAAAGAAACTTCAAAAGGCAAAGATTCATTTAGCAGTAAGGATGCTTCTGTAAAATGACAATCTATGAAGGTTTTTCTAAAAGCTGAACTCTAAAACAAGATCATCACTGAAATAAACTAATGCTCTCCCTAGGTAAATATGTCCTTAAAAGGTAAAAATATTTGGTTATGTAAATTCTAATAAACAAGTATCTTGCTATCACTAAACTACTGTGACTTACAGTACCTAAGTGTCTAAACTGCCAGCAACTTAACTTCCTAAAAACTAACTTTTAAGGCAATACACACTGCGACTGTGAATTCCTCTGAGCTCCCCCCTCCCTGGGGTTGCTCATGCTCAGGGAAGTTAACTGCATGTTGTGAAGACATGCAAGTAGCCCATGGAGAGGTCTTGTACAGAAAACTGTAAAATCATCATGAAAGCAAACCTCCAGGCCAAGCACCCTCCCCAGCATGCTCACCATGTAACAGACCAGGAGCCACAAACCACACCTAGGCTACTCCCAAACTCCTGACTCACTACTCTAATGGAGTAATCTTTACAAAGCAAAATGTAACTAATAGAAATGAAAAGAATATATTACCTTATAAAGTTCCTTCTCATCCTTTTCAGTTTTCAACTGACACTCAAGCTGTTCTCTTTCATATTCTGCCTTTCTGAGTTTGTCCTTTAAACTGAGTCAAGATGCAATAATGTTAATATAAACCAAAAAACTTTATTAAAACAATGAAGTTTTTAAAGCAATATAAATATACCTGTCTAGTTCAGTTTCTTTTTCAATTGCTTTATGAGTCACTGACACAATATCTTCCTCAAGCTGGAGAGCTTTAGATGTAGCATCACTGTATCGCTTTTTAAATTCTTCATTTTCCACTTTTAAATTTTGTGATACTTCAGTAAGACCCTTGGAAACAACAAGGTATGTGAAAAACAATCAGTAAAGCAACTTTGTATCTTTGTATCTTCTGCAAACTTCTACATTTTTATTTTCCAGTGGTACTGGGGACTGAACACAGAGAGCACTGAGTAACATCTCAATCCACTTTTTTTTTCAGACAAGGTGTCACACGTATTCATACCATCAGTTCACACAATTAAGTAACTAAGTAAGTTGCACATGCTGGCCTCAAAATTGAAATGCTTCTGTTTACCCCTCTTGACTAGCTGGAATTATAGGCCTGCACCACCACACCAGGCTTTGTAGTGTTACAACTTTAATCCTACATTTGTCCCTTCAAAATCTGTAAGCCAAGACTATAAACTAAACTGAAAATTGTTAGCATTTACTTACATTTTATATACTACACTACTAATATATATATTTCCCTCTCCCACAAACTTTTCATGCACCATGTCATTGATTTTACTAACTTCTCCCAGTTAGTTGGCAGGAAACAAAATGAGATAAAAAATTTAAAACTTAAGTCACTTTTGCTTTTCGTGTCTTATTTTTCAGTGTTACTCAGTAAGAAATCCAATGCTATGTGACACTCTATTAAGGTTAACACCTACTTCTAGTATACATCACTAAGTGCTATCAAAGCACTAAAATACATGCTGAAAGAGATGCTCGTAATCTTTTGCCAGTGTGCCCTGGAAGCATAAACAAATACTTAAAGATAATACAATACATATAAAATAAACCAAATGTCTACTTAAAATAAAATGTTCTGCTCTAACAGATAATTTAAAAACTTTAAAAAATGTTTTTTCCCTGTACAGGGGATTCAACCCAGAGTACTCTGCAATGAACCCCATGTCAAATCCCTTCTTTTTTATTTAGAGACAGGTCTCCCTAAGTTCCCAGATTGGCTTATACTTGAGATTTTTCTGCCTCAAGCTCCCATCTGGGATTGCAGCTGTGCACCACCAGGCCCAGCCTCAAAACTTTTTTTTTTTTTTTAATCACATGTGTTTGAACAAGACACTGGTGAGAATTACACCAAGCTCTTCTCTAAGTCTCTGTAATAATGCCTCTTCCACATGGTTTATTAAGATTCACGTTTAATAATGAGGTGCTATTATTTAAAACTATATGTGAAAAGAATTGAAAATTAGGTCAAAATATCTAATAAACAAATTTTTAGTTGCACGATACTCTGAGGTATTTCCAACATCTCATTCACAAACTACTAAATTCAAGGAATATTCCATTTGTACTGGGACAGATGCTGGCTGTCTACCAAATTACAACCTTCTTTTGACCATATAAATACGCAAGGCTGCCTAATTATATAGTACTGCATTTCTCAGCTTTTCATGTACTGAATTTTAGTCATCTAAATTCTCATCAGTGGAATATAAGCCAAGTAATACATATTACTTCCACATCCATAACTCAGATTATTAAACACGCATCGTCTAAGACCTCTTCCCCCTTTCAACCTACTGGAACCAGGATATAACAGTGAACATGTTTCTATTGTAAAGACATAAATTCTTTAAGAGTATAAGTGGTGTAAGTGGAATGATTATGAAAAGAGGTTGGGCCCCTAAATAATCATGAAAAACAACAAATATGCCACAGAGACTTTAATCACTCACTACAAAGATTTTTTTTCCTTAAAAAAAAGCTTTTGTTTTATATTGCTGTTTTTTCTTCACTTTAATTCACTATTAATCCTGATTAGTATTTAAATCAACTTTATTTTGATATAGTATCATTGAGAAAAAATTAAATGTGCTATGTAATGTTTAAAATATATAGCATTGATATACTAAAAAACTATTTTAAATTACTTCAATATCTGACTCATGAACAGAAAATGCAGCAACTAAAAATAAATCAAAAGGTTAAAAATTTAGAAGCTAGTCACAAGGACCTGAATTCAATCCCCGGTACCAAAAAAAAAAAAAAAAAAATTAGAAGCTAGAGAAAACATCACAGCATATTGAAACAACCAACTCAAAGAACAAAAAAGAGAATCTCAAATATAAGTAAGCAAAAGTTACTCAGGAACACAGCACTAATCCATATGAAAACATGGATGAACCTCAAAAATCATTACACTAAGTAAAAAAAGGCCAGACATACAAGGCCTCATTTTTATGATCTCATTTATATGAAATGTCTGGAAAAGGCAAATATAAAGAGACAGAAATCATATTAGTAGTTGCCTAGTGCAGAAGGCAGGGGTGTTGGGGAGTAACTGCTTATGGGCTCAAGTTTTCTTCTTGGGATGATGAAAATGTCCTTAAATTAGGTCGTGTTACTGGTGGTACAACTATAAATATACTAAAAATCACCCAATTATATACCTTATTTTGAGGGGGGCAATGGCAGGGATCAAATGCAGAGATTTGCACATGCTGGGAAATGCTCTACCACTGAGATATATCCCCAACCCATTTTATACTTTTTTTAATTAAGATAATTGAAGTTAATACAGATTATGGCTTTTGGATGCTTGCCTTCCTTTATAACTGTGAGTAATCTTGGGTATTATCTTACAGAAGTAATCTGTACCCAATTAAAATCAATATGAAAAAAAGTTCACATTTGTTAATGTTAACAAAGTACTATATATAAAATATAAGCAGACTACTCAAAGGTATGATTATGGAAGAACTATTGTTAGGATGATTTCCCATAACAAATACGTGCTATGACTTATTTTTATTTATCAGCCTTTTTAAGAGAGGGGAAGAAAATTCCATATTTAGTGTTAGATAAGGAATGAAGGTAAAAATTATCCTAATAGTTATTATTTATATCTATACTATACATGAATAATAGCACATATAACAGAAAGTGTATAATTTATCATTTCTCAATTTATAAATATGTAATTTTGGTTTTAATCTGTGAAATCCTAGCTTGTTCCTTCAAATAGCCATTTATATAAAGGAACCTTAAAAACATACATAATTGAAATCAATCTGTCTCGACAATCTTATCAGTCAATTCTTTCAATTTATAACATATGTTTTAATTATTATAGTTTAGTGTTACTAGTTTCCTTTTGCATGGCATTTTATAATAAAAAAACTAATAAAAGATGAAGAATTTTATTTCAATATAAAATTTTAGCATTTGTCAAGTGTTGAAAGGGCAATAAGCTAATCATACTATTTTATAAAGTAATGACAATAAATTAATTTATTTTTTATGAAGAATCTGAAAATCTCTACTGATTGTAGTTTTAGTAAAGTGTCCAATACAAAATTTTAAATGAAATTATTGATGATTACATCACATAACAGTCTTCCAGACATTCAAGTCTATATATTCAGGATCTCAAAAAGAACATTTCTAGGGGCTGGGGATTTGCCTTTCAAGCACAAGTTCAGGAGTTCAATCTCCTGTTCCAAAAAAAAAAAAAAAAAAAATAGACGGGGTCTCCCTATGTAGACCAGGCTAGCCTCAAACTCATAGCAGATTCTCCTGCCTCAGCCTCTCAAACAGGTTTATTGGGCAGCAAGAACAACTCAGATACTTTCAAACTAGTCTTGGTTTGATGGATTATAAAATCCATGATATTTCTTGGCATTTGTTTTAAATCTGTTCTGTGGTATAAATGATAAATTCTGAAAAGCAATCAATATAGTAGTCCTAGAAATGTTTTTTCTTGTGAAAATATTAAACAAAAATTGACTGAGTACTGTTTTATTCTTTTTGGCTTCTACTTAAATTTATTTGTATCTCTAATGAAGTCACGCTGTTTTCTAAATGTACTTTTTTTTTTTTTTTTTCTGAAGAAATAATGTCAATTCCAACTGGGGAGGCAGCTCAGTGACATCAAGCCTGCCTGGCCAAGTGTAAGTCCCTGAGTTCAATACCCAGTACTATTAAAAAAAAAAAAAAAAAAAAAAAAAGAAAGAAAAAAAAAGAAATACTGTCAATTCAAATTAGGTGTTAGGATTATTTATAGCATTTCTCATAAGAAGAATTTCAAAATTTTGTCTAATACTACATCTTACTTCACTGAATTCTGCTTTTTCAGGAACTTAAATTTCTTTATCTTCCTCCATTTAGTATTTACTGATTCATACATCTCCAACATCTCTCCCACACCCCCAAAAATATATCAAGTAGTCCATAATTAGATGTAAAACATCTGGAAATAGTTGTCCAGGACTAATCTCATCAGGCCTGGTACCAAAAGCCTAAAAGTATTTTAATCATCTTAAAACATAAAAGAAAACATAGCTGAAGGTTAACAGGAACTGATATATTGCATAAAGTCTCTTCAAATACTTGGTTTTTACTCACTTTAATTGGTTCAGCTCTTGGAAGATGTGGCGTTCAGGCAACAAGCTAAGAACTCCTATCAGTTACATAGGACACAACTAACCTTTTGCTCTGTTTGTAGGTGTTCACATCTTTCTTTCTCATGGTTAAGTTCTCTTTCCATTCTTCCAACTTGATCTCGAAGTTGCACTGTTTCTTTTTCCAGAACAGAAACTACCTTTAACAATTCTTCTTTTTCTTTCATAGTTTTCTCAATTTTCAACTGTAAAACAAAAATTCCAAGTAAATTGTTTCTTTTATTTATTTATTTTTTGGTACTGGGGACCGAACTTGGGACCCTGCACTTGCGAACCAGGCAGCGGAACCACTGAACTAAATCCCCAGCCCAGTAAATTGTTTCTTAATCCTAAAATATTTCTACAAATTTAGTTTTCCATCTCAAAAAAATAGTGAAAAGTCATAGAAGTAATTTTTACTTTCAACCTACTTTGTATCAATCAGCCAAGTAATATGAATCATAAATCTGAACTTTATTTTGTTAGGGCAAAAGAGAAAGTACTAAAACAAGGAATAAAATGAATGAATTTTTTTTGATCCTGTTCTTTCCCTCAATTCCCCTTCCCTCCCTGTGTACAAAAGCTTTGTTTCCATCTTTTCCATTTCATTTTTTTTCTTGTCCTTTCTTTTCTCCATCCCTCCTCCCTGTTCCCCATCCCATTTGAACACTTTCTTCCCTTCCCCAATACCCATTATACATCAAAATGAATGAAATTTATGAAAATAAGGTATATTAAATTCTTTCAGTGAATTCATTGTTGGGATTTTTTTATCTAGACTTATCAAATACATCAGGAAGAAAATGAGTACTTCTTGAATGCAAACCTATGGGCAATCTGAATAGCCAACCTATGGGATTACTATTAAAGGTTTGGTTCTTCAAATAATTTGCCAAGGAACATCCAGTTTCTATATATATAAAATGGTTTCTATTGGGCTACATTAAAAATGGAAATTTTATGGCAAAATTCAGATTATAACATACATTAAAAGTATAAGTAGTTCTTAATGAAAATACTAGTTACTTGTTTCAGGAAAATCCAAACTTCCAATACTGCAAAAAAATTACTAAATTAAAGATACCTAAAATAGCAGTAAATAAAATGGTTACTATTTCTCTTACAGCAAGAAGTCTTTGCTTCCAACCAAGGAATTATAGTGTCTCTGAGGGAAGACTTTGCAAAGGAGACATCATATATTAATCTGGTAAAATAAAGTGCTTTTCCCCAATTTAAGTTTTCCAATTTCACAGGATCAAAGAATCAAAGTGTTTAAACTCTAAAATAGCTTGAATAGCTAAAAACTTTTAGAATGACCCTTTTACTTCTACCAAGTGACTAAATCAAAATTCGAGGAGAAATACTCAACAGGGAAAAGTATATTTAATCATTGAACTTTTTTTACCTATTTTTAAAGTGACTTATGATAGATTACAACAAATAGCATGCAATAAAGTCAACAGAAAATTAGAGTCAAGTATGTGAACCAAAAAGGTTAATAGTATTATTAATTTACTACTATTAAATCTGGTTCAAAATGTATTGGCAGATTAAAACATGAAAATATGTCTTGGCATGTTGCAATAGAAAAATTACCAGAACACCACTTCTTCCCACTGATTTAATTCATACATACTTCATAAAGTTCACAAAAGCTTAAATAGAAATATTTTTAAGGAATTTAGATAAGAATGTATATAAATCTAATTTCTGCCCCTAATTTATATTTTGAAATAATTCTCTTTATTTGAAACAAAACATCTATTAGTACATTTAAGATATACAAAATAATAACATTCAACATAGGGAATTTGTACCTGTACATAGTCCAAAAACACAAAATAGTAAAAGTTTTACAAAGAACATCTATGTACCTATACCTCAATTCACCATTGATATTGCTTCACTCACAAGTACTTCAGAGTAAGCATCTCCTGACAAGGACAGTCTCACTTCAATGACTGTTATAATCATAGCAAAGAAAATTAAAACTTATTTTGTATAGCTAGGTGTGGTGATGCATGCCTATAATCCCAGGTACTTAGGAGACTAAGGTAAAAGGACCAAAAGTTTTAGTGGAAATGCTAAATCTGCTGGAAAAGAGAATAGGTAGAACACTTGAGGACATAGGAGTAGGCAAAGACTTCATCAATAAAACCCAGACCAGACAGAAAATACTACAAAAAATCAACAACTGGGACCTCATTTCATTAAAAAGATTTTGCATAGCAAGAGAAATCAACAGAGTGAAGAGACAACCCACAGAACGGGAAAAAAATTTTACCACCTATTCATCAGGTAAAGGACTATTAGCTAGAATACATAAAGAACTCAAAAATGTCAGACTCCCCAAATTTAAAGACCCAACCCAAAAAATGGGCATCTGAAATCAAAATCACATGAAGAAGTAGAAACAGTAAATAAATATATGAAAGAATGTTTAACTTCACTGGTCATTAAAGAGATGCAAATTAAAACAACACTGAGATTCCATCTCACTCCAGAAAAAACTGGCTATCAAGAAATCAACCAATAACTAACGCTGGCAGGGCTGTGGGGAAAAAGGAACCCTTCTTCATTGTTGGTTGGGAGTATAGAATGGTGCAACCACTGTGGAAATGAGTGTGAAAATTTCTGAAACAATGAAAACTAGAAGTTCCACTTGGCTCAGCTATTCCTCTTCTTTTGGTCCCACCCAAAAGAATTCAAAGCATTATACCACAATGACGTACGCACGCTATGTGTATAGCAGCAGTTTGTAATAGCTAAATCTTAGAAACAGCCCAAGATGTGGGTTTTTTTTCCACAGTGGAATACTGCTCTGCCATAAAGAAGGATGAGCTTCAGACATTTATAGTTAAATGGATGTACCTTGAGACCACTCTTTAAGCAAAATAAATCAGACATACATGTTTGAGTGCCATGTTGTTTCTCTGGTGTGAAAAACTGAAAGTAGAAAAAAGGACTAAAACCAGGGAGAGTGGGTCAGTAATGTCCAAAAGTTATAGGTTTCTTCCTATTCTGAGCAAGGAGGCGAGGTCACCCCTATGTCCTGGATTGAATGAATGTTTGAGACTTTGCCTAATGGGAAAGACATCTTTAAGTATTTCCTAAGTCACAGCCAAGAATCCATCTAGATGAGTAGATGGGAGCTATGTGGTTCCAGCATCTGGTCATCTACCCAAAGGCCTACATTTTAGCTTTCTGTAACATCCACTTAATCTGACAGTTTAAATCCTTTCCTTCAGTGGAACTCTGACTTTCAAGCTCTGAGAAAATATCCCACAGGTCTGGGCCCTCCTTAACCATCTATCTTCCTTCTAATCTATGTACATTTCTGCAGTGGCTATCTTATTTTACAATACAGTAAAATTTTAATGTACACAGTTTCTATTAAATGTTAAAGAAAACATTTTAAAAAGTAGAGAAATAGGAAGTAGGGGTGGTTTTAATAATTCCCCAAATTATATATTGTTTCAAAAATATTTCAATATATATGCTAATTAGTTTCATTTATACTACTAGGTCCCCTTGGTTCAATGAAAAAGAAAGTTTTGTGCTATTATCCATTTGTTTCTTTTTTGTAAGGGTCTTTTTTGACTATTAGTTGTATTCTTAACATTTCGGTCAATCTTTTAAAATTATAGTACATGGTATATCCATATTATTCTTTAATTAAAGTGTGATGAAATTTTGCTTTTTCATATAAGACTTTTTAAAAAAACATTTTCTTAATAATGTCTACTTATGAGAAGTGCCATGTGGCATGCACTGTCTGGTTGGCACCCAGGGGTGCTAGGCGGCTGAGTTCTGGGCCATGGGCTGCTCCTGTGCCACACAGTCATGAACCTAGAGCAGCTTTGGAAGCACATGTGGCAGCACCTCGACCAACAACAGTATCAAAGTGCTTTGTTTCGGGCAGACAAAGTAGCTTTGCTCTCCCATGAGGAGCCCCAGGATGTTTATTGGTTGGCTCAGTGTCTTTATCACAGAGCTGACCATGCACTTTGGTCATGAAAATTAGACAAAGTGTATGAAGCGTGTCGTGATCTTGCAGCCAGACGTCACGCTGCAAAAGAGTATCAGCAGGCTCTTGATATTCTTGATATGGAAGAACCAATCAACAAAAGACTATTTGAAAAATACCTGAAGGATGAAAGCAGCTTCAAAGATTCCTCCAGGGACTGGGAAATGTCACAGTCCTCAGTGTGGGAGCCCGCTGGCATTTGACATTGGAAAAGTAACTTCTTCTACCATTGAGGCATTGACACAATCTATGACTCTATCTGGCTTTTCTGAGACAAGGGTCTCAGCTAGCAGATGAGATTGACCTGGAGCTGACTGTGTAATACAGGCTGGGTTTATGGGATTACAGGTGTGCACCACCACGCCCGCCTGGCTCAAGGACTTTGTTAAATTTGACCTTGTGATGGGAGGAACTCAGATAGCCAAAGATCTGATCTCCTCCCTAATAGTTGCTTGGTGCTTCCTGTTGGCATGCCTTTAAAAGGAGCTGTTTCTGTGAAATAAATCGGACCTCTTGTCTCCACACTATTGAGTGTGCTGTCCTTTGTCAATCCTCACTACCCAACTCAGGTACGTTCGTGTTGTGACAACTGGCCGCCACGCCTCAGTAAAGAGTTCTATTTATCTTCTACAAGGGAAAATCTATGATGCTCTAGATAACCAAACTCTAGCTACCTACAGTTATAAAGAAGCTTTGAAGTTTGATGTCTATTGTTCTTTTAACATCACACCACATGTTGACAGCACAAGAAAGAAAAGAACTTATTGAGTTGATACCTCTTAGTGAGTTCTGTACTGAAGAACAGGAATTACTATGTTTTGTTTGAGAACAAATTAAGTATAATAAGCTGAGTGAAACTGTCATCCTTGAGTCTGTAGATAGCTTACAAGAGAATCTGGATGTGGTAGTATCTTTAGCTGAAAGACATTATTATAACTGTGATTTTAAAATGTGCTACAAGCTTACATCTGCAGTAATGGAAAAAGATTCTTTCCATGCAAATTGTTTACCTGTGCACACAGGAACATTTATGGACATAAATAAAGCAAATGAGTTTTTCTTTCTCACAAATCAGTGGATTTATATCCTAGTAATCCTGTGTCTTGGTTTGCAGTGGGATGTTTTTATCTCATGGTTGATCACAAAAATGAACATGCCAGAAGATATCTCAGCAAAAATACAACACTAGAGAAGACCTATGGGCCTGTGTGGATAGCCTATGGGCATTCATTTATTGTTGAGAGTGAGCATGACCAGGCCATTGCTGCCTACTTCACAGCATCACAGCTAATGAAAGGGTGTCATCTGCCAATGCTATACATTGGATTAGAATATATTTGGCCAATAACTCAAAACTGGCTAAAAGATTCATTGGTCAAGCTCTGAGCATTGCACCAGAAGACCCTTTTGTCATCCATGAGGTTGGCATGTTTGCCTTTCAGAATGGAGAATGGAAAACATCAGAAAAATGGTTTCTCGATGCTTTGGAAAAAAATTAAAGCAACTGGAAACGAGGTAACAGTTGACCAATGGGAACCTTCGTTGAACAACTTGGGGTATGTCTGAAAAAACGAAAAATATGCTGAGGCATTGGTATTAATTCCTTAGAATGTGTCTACCTATTCTGCCATAGGATATAACCACAGTCTGATGGGCAACTTTGAGAATGCTGTGGACTATTTTCACACTACCCTTGGTCTTAGATAAGATGATATATTTTCTGTTACAATACTTGGTCACTGCATCAAAATGTACATTGGCGATTCTAAAGCTTATATTGGGAATTTGAAATAGAAAAACAGACTGCAGAAGAAATAGGACTTGCACCATTGGAAAACTCCAGGAAAACTACAGATTCCGGGCCTTCCTTGGAAGAAACTTTTGAAATTGAAATGAATGAGTAACATGATGTTAAGAGACGTCTATGTCAGACCACAGTACGTGACTGCAAACAGTGGTCCGAGGCCAGACTGTGTTAGTATAGGACCAGAGGCTGCCGTGAGAGACTGGACAGCACACCTTGCAGCACATGTTCTACGTCTCTGAGCTACAAAACAGTGATACCTAGTGGAATAAAAAAGGTAAACTGTCAAAAAAAAAAAATCTACCTGTATTACACTGAAATAAAAATTTAAAAATAAAAAAGTTTTGGGCTGGCCAGGGATTGAGCTTAGTGGCATTGTGCCTGCCTCTCAAACACATCCTGAGTTTGATTCCCAGTACCGGTAAAAAACAAAAAATGTTTTGGGCTACCCTATGCAATTTCGGAAGATCCTTATCTAAATAATAAAATTTTAAAAAGGGCTGGGAGTATAGCTCAGCATTCCTTGGGTTCAATTTGAGTATCACAAGAGTAAATAAAAATAATTTTGTATCATCTAATTAGGTAGACTATAGTCAAACATCCTTTACTATGCCAAATGTCCTTCTTTTTTAGGCTATTATAATCTAGGATCACACATTGTAGGATTGTCTCATTAACCATTTTTAATGTTAATGGCACCCCAGATAATGTCTTGAGTTGTATTAATTTTGTACAGTATTAAATAAAATCATAAAAGACTTTAATGAATGTGGATATTTAGATCTGTTTAAGGAAAGGGGTCAGAAGATAAAAAAATTTTTATCTCAGATATATTTACTTGAGACAGCAATTTAAGCTCTTCATAATACCTTTTGTGAAGAAGGAAGAAGAGAAATAGATGTTATATCCCAGTTTACTTGGAGAAAAAGCACAAGAAAGATGTGGATACAAGATGCTTACCATTTTTCTGTTAGAATGCCTGAAATCAGAGTGGTCTAACAAATATTCAAAAAATCGCAATATAAACTGTAGCTGCATTCTTCTCAGGAGCTGGGCTTGTTTCAGCATCTTTGACTAGCATTCAAATACCAGGCTAAAAACCTTGATCATCAGGCAGTTGTCACAACAAAATGTTTTAGACACCCTATAAAAGTTACATTTCTTTATTTAAGATAAGAGAGGAATTTTGGGAAAGGAGAAAGATATGGGAGAATTCATGATAAAAAATGCTTTGTTCCTTCTAGTTTTCTAGTTTGACTGTCTAATAAAAGTATTATAACCTCTTGCCTTTTCATTTCTAGTCTCAGTTCTTTAAGGTAAATAAAATAAAAAACATTAAATATTTACATGTTTAAAAGGATCCGTCTGACTATAAAGAAAAGACAACGTCCTGCAACACATGAAATACGAATATAAATTTTTTAAAATATATAGTGGTTAATCTAAAAGTAATTTTTCTTATTACAATAAAGATAATTAAAAACAATTAATCACAATAATTCAAATGCAGAGCTCTAGTTTTTTAGGTATAGGGTAAAGATACTAAAAAATATGATCTTAGAACAAGAAAAGAATGTCATTTTATTTTCTCTTTTAAAAACTACTAAAAATCAGGGATTCGGCAGTATTAGACCAGCCAAAGACACAACTTCACAATATTCAAGTTAAAAAAACAGTAAAAGGCTTTTCACCTTTTCTTTTAAATTATAGTTAATCTAGGCTTAACATTTGATTAGATGAATAAGGAAAAGAATTACTTTAATAAAGTTTACTTCAGTGGCACAATGCCTGCCTGGCAAGCACAAAGTCCTGAGTTTGAACCCTGGTACCAAAAAAAAAAAAAAAAAAAAAAATGCTTAACCTAAATCAAGAGACTGGAATGCCTCCCTGACTCACAGCCAACCTTGAGAAAAAGCATGCTCACAAGGTAGCGAAACAAAGTTCACATTCATTACAGTTAGATAAACTGCTTTATGCTGCTCTCCCAACCAGCTTCATCCCTCAAATCAGTACTACTCAACAGTCACCATGTCATTATGTCACCATGAAAGTAGAAAAATTAAGGCAAGAGAACATAAGGAAAATTTTAGGCCTAAATTCTCTCAATAAAGATTTACTGCATTATCTGCTATGCACAAGATTCTACAAGACCTGGAACAGACCCTGCCATCATGGAACCAAGAAAAGAATACAGAAACTAGGTATGTTGATGCACACCTGTAATTCCTGTACTCAGGAGGCTGAAGTAGGCGGATTGCCACAAGTTCGAGGCCAGCCTAAGCTACAAAGGAAGACCCTGCCTCAATAAATATATACATATATACTCACACACATACATACATACATAAGAACTGTACCAAAGGATTTTAAAAGCATTTTTTTAAAAATACACTATAAGCTTATTATTAATTTTAATTTTTTTTTCAACTTTTTTTTTGGGGGGGTGGGTGTTTTATTTTGTCTTGTCTGCAGTACTAGAGATTGAACATAGGGGAACTTTACCAGTCTACATCCTAAGTTCTTTGTATATTTTATTTTAAAACAAGGTTTCACTATGTTGCTCAGGCAGGGCTCAAACATGTAATCCTCCTGCCCTCTCAGCCTCCCAAGTATCTGGGATCATTAGGCACATGCCACTGTGCTTAGCTAAAAAACTTTTGATTTTTGCAGACACTCTTGTATAACCTGAAAATGCTGGCCAACATGAACTCTGTCATTGCTGATACCAACCTCAAGAAGGCCAGCTTTTGTGGTCACCACCAACATGTCAGAACTTCCCTCATCTTCCATAGTAAGCAAATCTTCAACTGGAGAAGAAGCTCGAAACTGGAAAGGTGTACTTGCTCCACGAATTTCACCCTTGTGTGTAACGTAACAGAACTGATAAAATTCTCCATCATCATTTGGAAGGTAATATCCTAAGAGACAGTTAACAAACAAAAATTATTAAATTTTCTATTTTAAATTAATGTTATTTAAATTTAACAATGCTTGTCATCTTCATTCTCACACTATTCCCTGCACTTATCTTGATTTTTTTTCTATCATTCACAAATGTATCTGTCAAAACAAGTTTCTTTCTTCCTCTTCAAACATACTCAAAATTTTCATCTCTTCAGTCTAAATATATAGAATATGCTTTCTCCCTATATCTTGACTAAAGCAAAACAAATTTATGAAGAAAGGAAAAGAGGCTGGAGGAGGAGCAAAGAAGACCCAGGATAAAAATCTAAGGAAGCGGGCCAGGGATTTAGCTCAGTGTTCCGCAGCCTTCCTCACAAGTGTAAGAACCCAAGTTCAATCCCCAGCACCCAAAAAAAAAAAAACTCTAAGGAAGACTGGGAGTGGGAGTGGGGATAGGAGCCTGCCACTTAAATGAACTTTCCCTCCAATTTAATTTCTTTGTAAAAAGGAGAGATTAACTAAGGAATATGCTATACATAAGAAAGAAGATGAGATCCACTGGTGTATTACCACAAAAATAAGCTTTGGAACCACACATCTATTCTGGATTCCCAGCTCTACCACTATTTACTCCTTGAGCACAGATAAATTAAGAAAAAAAGATATGAAGTCATCCATCTCACCAGATTCTAACTATCTACAGATGATATATTTATACTGTTTAGCCACTATCTGACAAATAAGACATCCAATATTTGTTCTCTTCTTTCAATTATTATGCTCCCTTTTAAATTTTGCTGGACCTGTTCTAATTCTAAATTAATCTTTACCATTTCTCCTAATTTCACAGTGTTCTTTTACATTAAAAACAAACAAACAAACAGGGCTGGGATTTGGCTCAGTGGTTCCGCTGCCTGCGTTATAAGAACAAGAGCTCGAGTTCAATCTCTGGTACCAAAAAGAAAACAAGAACAACAACAAAAACCAATGATATTATCAGCATTACTACTCACTCTATACATGCTTTATATCCTACATCAGATCTCAAAAACATGGAAGGCAAATATAGACACAAACATACATAGACACATGCACACACATTCTAAGAGTATATGCATATTTATTTGTATTATATGAATAAGTTCTAGAATCATACACAATGATGTATTAAAAGTATTTCATAACTGTGAATAGAGAGAAGGCATTTACCTAATTATCTATCTAAATATCTAATCGTTATGTTTATTGTTCTTTCATGCCTTAAAATTTTCACTGCATTATTATAATAAATGCAGAGGTAATGAACACTGCTACACCACAGCATTAACCATTGTAAAGGTAAGATGTGTTGAGGGATAATAAAGCCAATGGTTAAAAATTTGAGAACATATATGATATCTCCACAGTCTCAAAGTAGCTCCCCTATAGTGTTTATTAATTACAAAAAGGAAAGTATTAATTTAAGGTTGAGAAAATCAGATGACACTACCTTTAACCAACGATCAAGATAACGTGCACAAACATCAAGTACTCAACAACACCGGACAGGTATGTTACTTCTTTGGCACTCTTTCCAAAATTGTATATAACCTTAATCTAAGTATAAGAAAATAGCAAACAGGACCAGGAATTTAGCTCAGGGGTTTCGCCACCTGCCTCAAAAGCACAAGGTCCCAAGTTTGAACCCCACTACCAAAAAAAGAAAAAGAAAATAGCAAACAAGCCAGGAAGTTGAGCCAGGAGAATTGCTGCAAGTTCAAGGCGTGCCTGGGCTACATAGTAAGTTCAAGGCCAGCCTGCACTACAGAGCAAAGCAAGACCCTGTCTTAAAAAACAAAAACTAAAACAAAAGCAAACAAACCCAAAGGGAGATATGCTACCAAAAATATTTTAAAGGGTCACACACATAAGGACAAATTGAAAAGACTGAAAAGACAAGACAACTACATGCAACATAGGATTAGATTCAAGAGAAAAAGAATATTAAAGGGAACACTGATGAAATATTTCAAATATGGTTTGTAATTTAACCAAGAGTATTGTGCCAAGGGATTCAGCTCAGCGGCACTGCACCTGCCTTGCAAGCACAAGACACTAAGTTTGATTGCAGAAACCAGAAAAAAATAAAAATAAATTAAAAAATTGAACTACTGGACAGGGATTTGGTTTAGTGGTGCCTCCGACTGCCTCACAGGTGCAAGGTCCTGAGTTCGATCCCCTGTACCAAAAAAAAGAGTATTGCGCCAATGTTAAACTACTAGTGTTTAAAATAAATGTACTATGGTCATGCCATATGTTACTAGGACAAGCTGGACAAAGTAGAAAAAAATTATCTTCAATATTTTTGCAAAAGTTTTTGTATTTAAAATTATATCCAAGGGTCAGGGATTTAGCTCAGTGGTTCTGTCACCTGCCTCACAAGCATTTAGTCCTGAGTTAAATCCCCTGTACAAAAAATAAAATAAAATAAAATAATATCAAAAATAGTTTTTAATATAAAGTGTCTAGAACTTGTGTTTTGTTTGTAGTAGAGAAGATTAAAATCAGGGCCTTCAGCATGAGCTATGTAACCAGCCCTTTTTATTTCTTATTTTGAGACAGGTTCTCTCTAAGTCATCCAGGTGCCCAGACTGAGCTGGAACTTTTGTTCCTCATGTCTCAGCTTCTCAGAGTAGTGGGATTACAGACATGCACCATCATGCCCAACTAGCACTTAAAAATTCACTCTCTCCTAATTCCTACTTGCTAAATTTATTAATCCATAGCAAACTAGATTTCCAAATAACTAGGCTTATTTAAAAAGCTCAAAGGGCAAACAAAAAGTCTAATTAGCTCTGAGATCACAACTTTAGAAATGCTAGAAATAGATATTCAAAGATCTAATACTTTAAAAAACAAAAATCTCAGCCAGTATGGTGATGTGTACCTGTAATCCTTGCATCTGGAAGGCTGGGGCAGGAGGATTATTCATAGTTCCAGCCCAACCAAAGCAATTTAGGGAGAACTTGTCTCAAAATTTAAAAGGGCTGCACTGTAGCTCAGTAGGAGGTCCCTAGGTTCAATCCCCACTTATGCTGAAAAAAACTCACTAAAGTAAGCTTGCTAAAAAGTTTTGGTACAATACCACTTGAGAACCATGTAACCAGGTCGAGTGGTTCATGGCTGTAATAACAGCTACCAGAGAGGCTGAGCTAAGAGTATTTCAAGTTCAATGCCAGCCTGGGCAATATAGAGACACTGCCTCAAAATAAAATAAAAGGGTGAGGGGGAGCAAGGAAACTCTGGATTCAATCCCTAGTACCCTTAAAAACAGATTAGGGGAGGGCTGGGGATTTAGCTCAGTGGTTCTGCTGCCTGCCTCACAAGCACAAGGTCCTGAGTTCAATCCCCAGTACCAAAAAAAAGGAGGGGGAGTAGTAATTATTCAGAACTGCAATTTTAACCTACTTGTCTGGAAAACCTGTTGTCAGATTAGTAACACTGAAAGTAAAACAGGAAAACCTACAAACCAAATACTGAAGCAAGTTTTACAACCTTAGTAGCACTCAGTTTTTCCCCCATTAAGTTTATTGGTACATTTAAAGCAAACAATAGCTACAATTATCTTTGGGATCTTGTACCTTTACATGATATATCTTGGTTCTTGTTTTTTCTCCATACTCCTGAACTCCCTTCACCCCCTTCACCCTTCCCTATTTACAAAAAAAACATGATTTCCATTTTTTCCCTTTTTTCACATTCTTTCTTTTCCCTTATTTACTTTCCCTTCCCTTTCCCACTTCTCCTTTAGCCATTTTCTTCCTATTTCACTCTCAATTATACCATTTGAACCTTATTTACACTTTTAGTTTTTCACCCCAGAGAAACTATTCAGTATTTACTCATGTGTCCTATTTATTTCACTTAAGCCTCAATGTGCATCTATTTAGCTATAAATGCCTCTAGTTTCTCATTCTTTATGGCTGAGTAGTACTCCCTTTATAGGAAAAAAACACATCTTCTTTATCCAGTCTCCAGTTGATGGGCAACTGGGCTGTTTCCAAGTTTTAGCTATTGCGAACTGTGCCTTTATAAACATGGGTGCACATATATCACTGTGGTATGATTCTTTTAATTGTTTTAGAAAGATACTAAGCAGAGGTACAGCTGGGTCAAATGGAACCTCTGATCCTTGTTCTTTGAGTTATCTCCATATTGATTTCCATAGTGGTTCAATTAATATTTTAATAAACAAGGATCCATTAAGCAAAAAAAAAAAATCACCTCAGTGTTTTTGTTAGTTGTTTGGAGTTTTGCATTTCAGGTGAAACTCACCTACAAAATTAGAAAGGTGATTTGGATTATGCTTTTTTTTTTTCTTTTCTTTTCTTTTTTGATACTGGGGATTGAACTCGGGTCCCTGCACTTGGGAGGCAGGCGGTGGAACCACTGAGTTAAATCCCCAGCCCTGGATTATGCTTTTAAAAGTCCTCCTAGCTCTAACATTTTATATGACAGTTTTTTCATGAGTCTATCCTAAACTTCCTCTATAACAAGCAAACAAAAAGTTCTAAGCAAGCAGAAGCTTTTTATTTCTGTATTTCAAGATTTAAAATAAAAATCAATTATTACTGAAATTTTAAAAAAAGCCTATTGAATTTATGCTTAGCTGCCTTCTTTGTTGTTGCTATTATTACTGGGGATTGAATCTATCTTCGGCCCTTTTTTATTTTATTTTTGGTACTGGGGATCAAACTCAGGACCCTGTGCTTGCGAGGCAGGGAGTGCCACTGAGCTATACCGCCAGCCCAGCCTTTTTTTATTTTTTAAAACAAGGTCTCACTAAGTCCCTAAACTTCCCAGGCTGGACTGAATTCTGATACTCCCACCTCAGCTTCCCAGAATGCTGGGATTACAGGAATGCATCAAAACACCCAGCTCATGAATACTTTTTTAAAGGTATAAACAAATAGACTGGATCCTTTTCTCTTTCTCTTTTTTCTAATGCTTTTAAACTTTTTGCCAAGTCACTAGAACAAATTCAGTAAGTTAACTTATTTTTAGGAGAAAACCAACCACAACAAAAATGACTAGCGCTAAACTCATAACTTTAAAAAAACTTCAACTATAATAAAACCAGTTTTAATGCACACATTTATATACTGTCCTTTAAAAGGATATGTATTTAATGACAAACTACACATAGTACAGTAGTTTACTGGGGGGTGGGGTGCAAGGGATTGGACAGAAGTCCTTACTCATAATAAGCACAGGCTGAACTACACCACCAATGCTTAACATATCTTTGAGAACCTAAATCTTTGTTCATATCCCACTACAAATTTCATACTCTAAACATTTCATTTTTAGCATACATAGAACATAAGGAAACACACATGTTCCATTCAGTCACACTTAGTGTCTACCAAACATACAAAATTTAAAATAAATTCAAAGTACTAAAAATTCAGAAAAAGTAGGGATGGGTGGGGTAAGGTACTGTAAAGGAACTATACGTTTTGTTCAATTTTTTCTGTAATCCTAAACGTCTCCAAAAGAGTAGTCTTACAATTAAAAAAAAAAATCAAACTAAAGCTGATTAATCTGAGCCTACTTATTTAAGTCTCCGCATCACATATCACCACAAAAGATACTGCCTGATATAAAACAATGTATCTTAATTAGATAATGTTAATAATATTTGCTGAAAAATCATCTGCTGTACTAGTGGTTCCCAGTGGTTCTACAATGCAGTCTCACCTGTTTTCTAAAATTTCCAAAGCCTGGGCAACACCAGAGAATTTAAGCATCTGCGTATCTTAAACTCCTAGGCAATTCCAAAATACAGTTAATTTTAGAAACCACTCTACTACAGCCATACATATGTGCTTTAAATTATATTGCACTTGAACAAGCTTATTCTCTGTTAACTGTAACAGAACATTACATTTTTATATTCACTAACATCTAATTAAAACTTTTTGCATACCCTTTGAGTATTTGTTGGGTTTTTTTGTTTGTTTGCTGAGATAGGGTCTTGCTATGCAGTTCATGCTGGCCTCGAACTTGCAGCAATCCTCCTGCCACCACCTCACAGCATGAAACATATGCCTGACCTTTGAGTATTAATACAGGCAGCAAGCCACGTGGTATTACCACTGTCTGTGACTTCTGTCACTCATGTTTTCATTACATGTAATTTAATTTTTAATATAAAATGTTAATATCACATAACAGTTATTACAAGTATCTCAGTATTACTCTACTTTGAAATTATGGCAGTTATTAAATCTTCCAGAACATCTTAACACAGATTTTCAAAGCAGACATTAATATATCATACGTATGTTCCTATAAATACTTTTAATAACTACTGAAATGCAATCAGGTTTTGGCAAGTCTATACATTTTACTTCATATACATTAAAATATCTTGATATATTGCCCATAATCTTCACTAGAACAACAAAAAAAATCCATGGCACATACAAGGTAAGAATTTGCTTTAATACCATCCATAGTACAATTACAATACAAAGTCACTAGCAAATATCATGATAGATTTCTAAATATTTTTCCAGTTTTTAAAAATTATGGTAAAAAGCACACATAACACAAAATATGCTGTTTGAATCATTTTAAAAATGTACATCAATGTTGTGGAATCACTGGCATTATCTAGCTCTAAAACTCTTTTCATCTTGCCAAACTGAAATACTGTATCCATTAAACAATAACTCTGTATTCCTTTCCTCCCTTAGGACTTGGCAAATGACACTTTTTTTTTATACACCAGGGATCCAACTCAGGACCTTGCACTTGCAAGCAGGTGCAGTGCTGCTGAGCTAAATACCTGACCCTCTATTTTCTGTCTGTGAGTTTGTCTGCTCTAAGTACTTCACAGAAGTGGAATCAGACATTATTTGTTTTTTTGCAACTGGCTGATTTGACTTAATATACTGTACTGTCTTCAAGGTTCAACTATGTTACAACATATGACAGAATTATCTAGGAGTATTTTTTTAAAATGTGCATGAAGTGCCAAGCTAAGAATGAATTTTGCATTACTCATTTATACCCATTTTACAGGAACCTTCACATGACAGAATTAATAACTATTCTTTAAATGTTGTTAATCATCTTTGTGATTTTCATCTGAATTTTTTCCCTCACCTCTACGTTGCTAAAAAGTCCAAATTTAGGGGTTATTATGTATTCATTCCATACATTTATACATTGTAAAATCATTTTTAACATATTTTTCTCCTGGAATATTTATCACATCTTTAAGGAGATAACATTTAAAATCATTTATTCTAGCATTTGGGTTATATAGTTCTCTTACTTTTCTTCATTGCTGACAAATTTTCCTCCAATAACCAAAGTTAAAAGGAGGAAAGATTTATTTCGACTTACAGTTTGCAGATTTCAATCCATAAACTGCTGGCTCCAAGATAGGGTAGCAGGGCAGAAAGGCATCTCAGAAGATAAGCAGGAACAATAGACCCAAAGACCTTCTTTCTGTCCCTTATATTGTACTCAGGCTACTCACCCTTAGGGTGGGTAGCACTCACACTCTGGGTGGGGCACCCTTAATCCTTTCTGGAATTATGCCAAACCAATCAATGGATTCATTTAGCAATCACACACCCTTAATCCCAGCAACCTATGAAAAAGCCCCACTTTTGACTACATGATGCTTTGGGGAACATCCAGACACAACTCATAATGACAATAGTCATTATCTATAGTCACTGTCTTAGTTACTTCTCTTTCAATGCTGAGACAAAATACCAAACATCCAAAAGATTAAGGGAGTTTAAGCTAAATAAACTGAGTTTATTTAGCTCAGTTTATAGAGGTTTCAGTCCATAACTGGCTGGCTCCAAGGCAGGGTGGCATGACCGATAGACACTGCTAAACAGAAACAGTTCACTGCAGCATAAGGTAGCAAAGCAAGCAAAAGACAAGATAAGCCTCTTTCTGTCCCTTATATTGTACCTGGGATACTACTATTAGGGCAGTGACAAACCAATCAGTGGGCTGATTTAGTCATCATCCACCCTTAATCCTAGCATTGCACCATGAATCAGTCATACACTCTAGATTCTGCCACCTCTGAAAAAGGCCCACCTATGACTGCATGAGGCTTTGGGAAGGTATCTAGACACAATCCATAACAGTTACCCTGCTGTACTCCTACCTAACTACAACTTAGGAACCACTGATCAACCTTAACATTTTTCCATGCCTCCCTAATATTAGCAATAGTACAGTTTTCTCGTTAGAAAACAAAAATCACCAAAAGTAAAAATCTGGGAAAAAAGTCCATTCTCTTCAATGAAAATTAAAATAACATGCCAAAACATTACCAAGTGTTTAAGTAATATCAAGCTGGGTGTGACGTGACACATGCCTGTAATCCCAGCACTCAGGAGGCTGAGGCAGGAGGATCACTGTGAGTTCGAGACCAGCCTGGGCTACACAGTGAGTTCCAGGTCAGTCTCACTACACAGTGAGACCCTGTCTCAAAAAAAACCAACAACAACAAAAAAAAGAAATATCATTAAAATATCATGTAGCTGGGAATTTAGCAGAGTGGTTCTGCTGCCTGAGTTCGATCCCCAGCACCAAAAAATAAAATAAAATATCATGTGGCCTATACTTGCTATTTACATTCTTATGATTTTTGCTCAACAAAGACACTAGTTAATTCAACTTTGGAATACCAGATATACTTCAATGGGTAATATAATGGGGTACACATATTAGTATCAATAAGACATCTATTGTCAAGTTCTGCAATTTATAGTCCTTACCTTGAAATGCTAATACACAATTGACTGTTGATCCTTCTACATAATGTTCAGGCATAGGGGACCATAAAAATGTATAATAATCACGAGCAGTACTCCATCCAACCTAAAGGAGAATAACAAAAATGAGAAATATAAATAATTTTAATATTAACCAGATATCTTACAGCATATTTTTTTACTATATCCTAAAGTTAAAACATATGTTTAACATGTGCCCACATTGTATTTTGGGGGGAGGTACCAGAAATCGAACTCAAGTCCTTGTGCTTGTAAGGCAGGCAGCCGAACCACTAAGCTAAATCCCTGGCCCCTACATTGTATTTTTAACAAGCATATCCAATTACAATTTTATTAGGCTATAGTGTAATGTTACAAAAGTCTACATAAATTGAAATACAGATTTTTTTACTATGTACCATTCAATTTCTCAGGAATAACCTATGGAGGCATATTTAGAAATTAAAACCTAATGTTTTGCCTAAAATTTGATTCAATTAAACATAGTAGATTTTTAATTTATTTTTTATCTCAAATTTAAGTTTTTTGTTTTATTTTACTATACTTAGCATCCTCTTCCTTCTTAAACCCACTGACTAAATTTTTCACCCTTGGAAAGTTTTGCCTATAGGCAATTCATCAATTTTGCAAAAAAATGCATCAATCTGTATAGTCCACACAGATTGTGCCATATTAAATATTGAATATCAGAGATGTGTAAAAAAAAAGGTACCAGATATCCATTTGCTAGTAATATTACAAAAAAAAAAGTAAATATCAGCCACAGAATGTTCTGATTCTGATTGGCATTAAGGTTACACAAAATAGCTGGGGATTTAGCTCAGTGATTCTGCCACCTGCCTCGCAAGCACAAGGACCCGAGTTCAATCCCCAGCCCCCCCAAAAAAAAAAGATTACACAAAACAGAACATTGAAACTGAGTGTGCCATTTATTTGTGAAAGCTAACATATAAAATTATGAATGATATCTGATTCAAGGAACACTAGATATAGCATAACATATTGTTCATTAAATGTTTGCTTTGGCTTATTGCTATTATCTGTATCTTACAAACTTAAGAAACAAGTAAAAAACAATCATCCAAGCCCTTAACCATCAAAACTCCTCTCTCTCCTTGGGGCCAGGGATTTATCTCAGTGGTTCCGCTACCTGCCTCACAAGCACAAGGTCCTGAGTTCTGAGTTCTATCCCTGGTTAAAAAAAAAAAAAAAAAAAACTCTTCTCCCTGATGGATAGAAAATAATCCTCATATTTTTCTGAAATTCTACCTTCTTCCAACACCGATGCTTTCCAACAATGATTATGTGCGTTCATTTTGGTTGTCTTGAGATAGGGTTTCACTATGTAGTCCAGGCTGGCCTCAAACTCACATCAATCCTCCTGCCTCAGCCTCCTGAGTGCTGGGATTACAGGTGTGAACCACCACATGTGGCTGATGCTTTGACTATGTAATTCCTAAAATAAGTATAGCTGACAAAAGACAGAAAACTAGGTAGGAAGTGCATGACTATAGTCCCAGATACTTGGGAAACTGAGATGAGAGTATCACTTCAGTCCAGGAGTCTAGCTTGAGCAACAAAGTGAGCCACTATTTCTCAAAAAAAGAAAGAAAGAAAAAAAAATAGATGAAAAGCTCTCTTTCTAGTTGTTGTCTTTCATGGGAAGAAAAACACAGAAAAGGAGGAATGAGATCTTTTATCAAATAAGAAAGGGACATGAAAGGGAAGTGACATCAGCAAGATGGCAGAATAGGTAGCCTAGACCTTGTTCCCCCAAAGAGACGTCAATTTAACAGTCCAAAAGAACCTTTGCGAGAACTCCAAAAACCAATTAAACAGTGGCAGTGACAGTATGTCAGGCTAAAGCAAAGTCAAGAGCAGCTGCACGGAAAAGTGTAAGAACAATTTCACAATAACCACAATAGCCCTCCCCCTATGCTGGCACAATTTAGCAGGAGCAAGAGAAAGATCCAAGTCTGCAGCTTTTCTCTTAGGAAAGAAAACATTAGGAACACACATTTAACATTCTGACCTTTCAGTGGTCTGTGCAGGTTTCTATCTTGGCTGAGTTGGGGCTACCAGAGGACCCATACTTTCTAGGAAGTGTAGAGAACAAAGGACTGCTCCATGCAGCTTTTTGCATTTTACAGCACATAAGAACCTGCAATACCATAGACACACACCAGAGGGAGAGAGTACAAACTCCTGAAAAAGGAATGACAAATCTCTTACTGGAGAAATCACATGCAAAAAAAAAAAAAAAAAAAACAAACCAAGGAAGACTTCTCCCAATAAAAGGTTTAAAGGGCCCCCCAGAATCGCTAAACAATTTGGTGAAGGTTTTCCCCATATAAACCAAATCTAAAAAAGCTGAAAGAGGTGGATGTATTATAAAATGCACAAAACAGTAAATAATAAGGCAAATGAAGAAACAGAAGACCCAAGGGAACAAAATGAATCTTAACAAATTAACTGTAAAGAAATAGCCCAGGGATTTAGCTCAGTGGTTCTGCTGCCTGCCTCACAAGTGCAAAGACCTGAGTTTGACCCCCAGTACAAAAAAAAAAAGGAAAGAAATAGTAATAAATTATCTGACAAAGAACTCAAAATAATCATATTTAAAAAGCTCAATTCACTATGAATTACAGGTGATCAACTAAAGAATAATCACAAAACCATGAAAGAGAATACCAAGAGATTAAAAACTAAAAACTCAACAGAAATTCTAAACCTGAACTATACAATAACTGAATTGAAAAATTCATGAGGGTTTCCAGAGTTAATTTACACAGAATAAAGAATCAGTAAACTCAAGTAATTTGAAATTAATGAGTACAACAAACAAACTAACAAAAGAATAAAGAAAAATGAAGTTTAATCTTCACAGGAAACTTGTCAAGCAGACAATATACTCATGAGTTACCAAAACAAAGAGAAAGGAGTGAAGAGTTTATTTGTAGAAATAATAACCCAAAACTTCCAAACTCAAAAAAGGAAATGGACAACCAAATTCAAGAAACTCAGATAAACCCAAAGAGGTTCACACTAGATACACTATTAAATTAACAAAGTCAAAGAAAATCTTTAGACAAGCAAGAGAAAAGTAACTCATAGGAACTTCTGTAAGATTATCTGCAGTGGGCTGGGGATTTAGTTTAGTGATGCCATCACTTGTCCTGCAAATTCAAACTCCTGAGTTTGACCCCAGTACAAAAAGGAAAAAAAAAAAAAAAAGGATCATCTGCGGATTTCTTTGAAGAAATATTACATTCCAGAAATGAATCCTGCAATACTGTAATGGTGGTACTTAACTGTAGTACAGAACTTCATAAATAAAAGCATTTTTAAGAAACTATAAAACTATGTTGAAGAATATAAGATAAAAAAAATTAATTTGTAACAACATAAAGTGGAAGGAAGAAGCAAAGAAATTTTTGTATGCAATCAAACTTACAGTTTAACCACTTAACAGTTTTACCCTGACTGTGACTCAAGCAGTACTTTTGTTTTCATATTATCCTGAGTATCACTTGGGCAGGTGTCATTTCAGTCATTCTAGTACACAATAAATTTGATTAAATTGTCATTTTTATATCTTGTTATATTATAAAAATTAACAAAGAATATGCAATTTTTGGTCATCCTGTATTTAAATGGGTGGACTGGTAAGTAGTTAAAATAAAGCATTATATTTTTTTATAACCCCATTGTAATCACAAAGAAAATATTATAGAAGCTCAAAAGAAGATAAGGAAACCAGGAGTGGTGGTGCAGGACTGTAATCCCAGGACTCTTGAAGACTGAGGCAGAAGAATCTCAAGTCTGAGCCCAGCCTGGGTAACCTAATGACTTAGTGAGACCCCACCTCAAAAAATAAAAAGGGCCTGGGAATGTAGCTCAGTAAGAAGGCCCTAAATTCAATCCCCAGTACCACAAAGAAAAAAAGGAAAAAAGGGAGGGAGGCAGGAAGGGAACAGAAATGAAGCAAAAGGAAGGTGGAAAAGGGAAAAAAGAAAAAGTGACAAGAGAAACAAAGCACATGTCACTCTCTTAAAAATCAGCAAAATACAAACCTCAGGGCCAAGGGTGTAGCTCAGTGGTGTCACACTTACCTGGCAAGCACAAAGTCCTGAGTTCAATACCCAGTACCACCAAAAAACAAACAAACAAAAACAGCAGGAGAGGAAAAAAAGGAACAAAGTAACTAAAATGATACACAGAAAACAACAGAAGTGACAGTAGTTAACTTTTCCATTAGTATAGACTTCAAATGTTAAAAATGTATTAAACTCATCAAAAAGTAGAGTAGCTGAGAAGATTTTAAAAAAACTATATTCTATCTTTAAGAGACTCATTTAGACAAAATCTGTAAGTAAAAGATACTTATAAGACACAAACAAAAAGAATTGGGTGGTCATACATATACAGACAAATGTATAAGGTCTGACTTAAAAATACAATGATTGTAAGGTGTTTTTGTTTTTTAATTCACTACAGTTAAATGATTTACTGTCTGCCATTAATTCCCTTCAAAATAATCCCATTTTTTAAACACCATTATCCCATTGAACTTGCCACTTTCTAAAGCAGTTTTGGACATTTTCTTTCATGACTGTCCAGTTGCATTGTCGTGGCTACCACAATGTCTTGAATCAATTCAAATGTTTGCATTTCATGATCATTTGGACTCTGGAGAAAAGCCAGAAGTTATATGGTGCCAGATTCAGTGAAAAAGGCAGGTGAAGACAAACTGTAATGGTTATAAATCTGCCTTTCTGATAGATGGTACTTGGCAAGAGCATCATACTTTTTATCATACCTCATAAAGACATTCACAGAATTGTTTCAGAAGGTGGCAAGAATGATGGGATATTTGTGTTTGAAATGAAGGGGGTACTTTAAGGAGTATTAATGGCAATGCACCTTTTACGGCAACACATTATTTAAATATTCACCACAAATAATGACAAGGGGTCAATTCATCAGGAAGATATAACAATTGTAATTAAGTATGTACCTAACAGCAGACCACCCAAATATATGAAGCAAACATTGACAGAATTAAAAGTAAAGAAAAAAAAAAAC